TTGGAGGGTGATACCCTGAGCATGGGGACCCCCTGATAGTTGCCCCGTGCCCCCTCAGTCCTGCTGAACTATTATCTAAGTGGCCTTCATACCCCGGTACCTCTGCCCCTGGGGACATGCTGCCTTCCACTGGTTTTTTCCACACACAGGACAGGGTTTGGGTGAGGTGTGGGACATCCTTTCTGGAAATGACCTGATTTCCACCACATATAGCATCTCATCTGCTCAGGTCCCTTGGCACCCTTCATCTTGGGTGCCTCCCTCAGGGATGCCACTGAAAGAGCAGCCTTTTGTTTACTTCTCCAGACTTGCTCCCTTTCTTCTTCCTTATCCCAGTTATAGTATAGTCTATCGGCTGTATTAATTCCTTCAGGGGAGTCCTTGGTCTCACTTCTAACTTTTGGAGCTTTTTCCTAATATCTACAGTAGCCTGGATGACAAATTTACCCCTCCAAATTGGGTGCTGTGGCCAATCTGAGTTGAGATACAGGTTAGTGTGTTTTACCAAGACCTCTTTGATCCTCTCCATAAGGTCCAAGGGACTCTCTTTACCTCCCTGTATCACCTCAGACAGTTTGAAGTAGGTAATAGGCTTTACTCAAGACCTTTCTAACATGATAGTGACATGGGTGACCAAATGTCTGATTGCTCCATGAGGAGTATTAGGATCCCAAGCCAGGGTAGTTCTGGGAATTGTATCTCTCCCCAAAAGCAGGTCGGGCTCCCATTCATGTCTGACTAGACATTGTTCATTAGCCCAGTTTTCAGAATGGCACCATACTCTCTGTTTGGTGATGGTTAGGGTTTGTCCCAAAATCAGAGTTTCATCTTCGTAATCTAAGTCATAATTCTGATTCACCTTCTTAAAAATCTTGATAAATTTATCTGGGTCCTCTAAAACCTTACCCAACTCTATCATAGGTCATTTTATCTATCATAGGACATTTAAAGGAAAAGAAACATGTGCCTGATGGGGATCTCCTGAGTATGGGTCTGTCCTGTTTACCTGGATAGGGAATATGACTGCTGGGGTTGTAACCACTCTAAGGACCACTGGGCCCATGGGCCTGGATAAGGGGTTGGGGGAGACCTGGAGAGTAGAACAACACCCTCTGGTCAAGTTAGGGAGTAGGGAAATATAAAGACACCCTCAGCCTGATTGTTAACCTCTTTTCCTTTATCTCTTTAATCATAGGGTGGCTGGGCTGTCATCCCCTGCTGGGGTTAGAGCCACTAAGAGTACTGGATCTAACTGGCAGGTCTTACAGAGCCAGTGTGAAATACACAGTGAGAACCTGTCTCAAAAACAAAAAAGAAAATGAAAGCTATAACCTTTGTTCAAAAGCACCAGTTCATCTGACAGGAGGCTAGGAGAGCAATTTAGCAGGTGGGAGTGGAGGAAGAAGAGGTTGAGCAATAGGAAGAATGTGACTTGGTAGGGAGACAAAGAATTACAGACAAGACCCTCAGGACTCAGAAGCAAGAAGGGCAAAACATCTAGGGTGCAGGAAAACAGTGTAACAAAGACATTTTATCTTTCTGTGGCACAAACATAAGACATAAACCTGGCAGATGCATGGGAGTTGTCTTGAGCCTGGTGGAGTCTACAGTGCTCTGTCCCGTGACTAAGTTATCCTTTCTCGAGAGTCTTTGAAGCGGCAGATGCTCTAACAGCTTTTAACTATCTGACCTATGCCCACAAAAGTGCAATTAGTTAAGATACACCAACAAGATAAAGCATCTTTCATACCTCCTTGCAAAGAGCTTGGTAGCTACAACATAGACATTGAGAATGACAGGGGAAAAACCTGGGATCTCAGAAAGTTCAGAACAGTGTAGAACTGAGAGAGAAAAGGATCCTCAGAGAGCAGAGGACAGCATGGTGATCTCAACTTATCAGACCTTAGGTGGGGAGGGATCCCCAGATCCTGGGTTTCAGCACCAAAAATGTCACCATCCTGGTTTTTGGCTGTCTGGGAGAAGAATTTGCCTGGCTGCTGTACTCAAGCAATGAGAAGCCATGTGCAAACAAAGTGTTGGTTTAAAGAAAGCAACCTTTTGGGGGGGGGGGGGTACCGGGAATCAAACTCAGGACCTTGTGCTTGAGAGGCAGGCGCCAGAACCACTGAGCTAAATGCCTGGCTCAGAAAGCAAACTTTGATTGCAAAGCAGGAAACGACTCACAGTCTAGCTGGGTCATCCCCAGAGTGTGAACATCCCTGAATTCCTTTGTTTTGGTTCCCTTTATTTCCCCACACTTCCCAGTGAATGAAGAGGGTCAAAGTAAGGCACCCGGGTAGTTGCTGCACGTGTTCTGCTGGGGAGGAAAGTTCACCTCCCCACTCCTGTCCACCTATTTGCCCACAGTGGGATGGAGGCCAGCAGTCCTGTAACTTCTAAGTGCAGGAGGTGATGTTCAGCCTAGCAATTTCGTCTTCAGACGCTTGCAGAATGGATCCAGGACACAGATGCGGTACTCTGACCAGTGACTATGTGGGTGGAGGGCTGTGCCATTGGCTTGCTGAGTACAGGAACCTTGTATCAGGTGATGCAGAAGAATTCATTCTAGAACAAAGCCAAGCAAACAGTGAGGTGGGCTTATGCTCAAAGGAGATGATATTACTCTGCCACACAGTGTCTCCAACCAGGAATGATCAATGAAGGAGTAGACAGCAGCGGAGAGGGGTGGTAATGAAGGAAATTACAACCTGTGCAAAATGCAGCCATTCACATGGTTTTCCCTGGGAGTATTTGAGGTGTTGTTTGTTTTGTTTTGGAGACGGGGTCTCACTAGGTACCCAATTGAGACTGGCCTTGAACTCACTATGTACCCCAGGCTGTCCTTGAACTTGTGACAATCCTTTTGACTCAGCCTCCCTCCCAAGTGCTGGGATTACAGGTGTGAGCCACCATGCCCAGCTTCTTGAGCTATTTCAACTCACATCTCTATGACTGATAAAATATGTGGTAGAGAAACAATAAGAACAGAAAAGATTCTCTCAATGTGATTAACAAGAGTGACTTAATGGGTGCACCCAGTAGGTGTAGAATATGCATGACCTCCTCAAGGTTCTATGTCAAGAAAAATGCCCAATTAAAATTTAAATGCTTAACCTGTAAAGTGTTCATCAAAGTAGACATTACCATGGAAATCAGAAAGCATTTAGAACCTAAAAGTGATGAAACTATTACATAGGAAAATTTGTAGGATCCAGTTAATACTATATTTAAGGGAATCTGCATAGCCTAAAATACTGCTCACAGAAAACAAATAAGGTTCAGCCGGGCATGGTGGTACACACCTGTAATTCTAGCACTTGGGAGGCCGAGGCTTTGTTCAAGGCTAGCCTGGGGTACGTAATGAGTTCCAAACCAGCCTGAACTACATAGCAAGACCCTGTCTCAAAAAGAAAAACAAGTGAGATTCAAAATTAATGAGCTACCTGTCCATCTTGAAAAGTTTGAAATAAAATAGTAAAATAAGCCCTCAAAAAGTAAAAGGAAGAGCCAGGCACAATGATGCACACTTTGATTCCAGCTACTTGGGAGGCTGATGCAGGAGGATGGCAAATTCAAGGCCAGATTGGGCAATTTAGCAAGAACTTGTCTCAAAGTAAAATAAAAAGGGCTGGGGATGTACCCCAGTGGTAGAGCACCCCTGAATTCAATCTCCAGTACTAACTTTTGTTCTTTTTGATTAATTTCTTTTCCCATCTTTATATTTCCTTCTTTCTTTCCCTCCCTCCCTTCCTTCTTTCCTTCTTCTTTCTTTCTTGTGCAGCGCTGGATGTGGAACCCATAACCCCATCCAGGCAAGGCAAGGAGTCTACCTCTGATCTACATCTCCAGCCCCAGAAGTTAATTTTTGGAAAAGGATTTTTTTTTTTGGTACCAGGGATCGAACTTGGGTCCTTGCACTTGTACAGCAGGCAGCGAAACCACTGAGCTAAATCCCCGGCCCAGGAAAAGGATATTTAATAAACTGACAAAATTCTTTTTTTTTTTTGGTACCGCGGATCAAACTAAGGATCTTGCACTATCGAGGCAGGCATAGGGCCACTGAGCTAAATCCGCAGCCAGTAAGAGTCTAATGAGAATGATCAAGGGGGAAAGAAAGAGTTAACAAAGAAGGTACAAGTACCCAATGTTAGGAATAAAAATGAGTTAAGAATACAGGCCACAAATTGGAAAAAGACATTTTCTATGATGCAAGTACAAAGATTTCCTAAAAGTTAACTGATCCAACATAAACCGGCAAAGGCGCTCCATAAGAGAAACAAAATGTGTCAGAAACATTTGAAAAAGTGTTCAACCCATTAGAAATCAGAAAGAATGCTAGTCCCTCAAGATTCACAAAATTAAGCCAGGTATGGAGGCGCACGCCTGTAATCCCAACACTCAGGAAGCTGAGACAGGAGGACTGTTTTGAGTTCAAGGCCAGTGTGGGCTACATAACAAGACTGACTCAAAAAATAGAAGAGATTCACAAAACCAAAATGCTAGACAACACTAAGTATAAATGTGCATATGAGTGGTAGACACTAATCCATACTGGCTGGTAGGGATCTTTGGAAAACAGTTTGGTACTGTTCACTGAACTTAAGTCAGCATGCCTCATGACTCAGGAATGTATTTCAGAGAAAGAACTCTCACATAAGAATATTTATAGTATCTTTTTTTTTTTTTTTTTTGAGACAGGATCTCACTATGTAGTCCTGGCTGGGTTTGAACCCTTGGCAATCCTCCTGAATGCTCAGATTACACATGTGCCATCACGCTTGGCTATTTTGTATTTATTTTGAGACACGGTATCCCTAACCCACTAAATTGCCCAAGCTTGAGATCCCCCTGCCTCAGCATCCTCAGTGCTGGGATTACAGGCGTGCAGCACCACACCCCATTCATATTTTATTTCTGCGGATCTATTTTGAATTTTTTCAGACAATTGGATGCATTATATAACCTACATTCTAATAACTAAAAAGTGTCGCTCCCAGCAGACGCAGACCTGAGGACCCAGCCGGGCACCAGCCGCAGCAAAGTGGCCATGCCAGACTCTCAGCCCGCTCTCCCCACTGTTCGGCAGCAGCTGAACCCGGAAGTAACAGCCCGGAAGTTCTGGGGAGGCCTCAGCCTGCTCCGCGTGCTGTGGTGCCTGCTCCCGCAGACGGGTTACGTGCACCCTGATGAGTTCTTCCAGTCGCCGGAGGTCATGGCAGGTAACTCCCACTTGTGACCGGCTGGGGCGGGAGCTGGAGTGGGGAAGCCACGTGTGCTATGTGCAGAGGACCAGGATCCCAGGACCAGGGGCCGGAAGCGGGCACTTCACACCAGGCTCCTTGGTGTTTTCCTGCTGGGACTTCTAGTTGGGCTTTCCCAGGAGCTTGGGAAGCTGGCACACAGATGCCATCTGATGATGCTTTTCCACATAGGTTCAAAGGAATGAGGGACCCAGAGACAGGCTGCTCTGAGCAGAACTGACTGCTCGGCAGTGGGAGGCACACAGTTGGGGGCCTTTCAGATGCTTTGGGCAGTGGCTTCCTTCTCTGGTGCAAGGTGGCTGCTTGCGCTCCAGACATCAGGTCTTAATGTCTTTCCAGCCAACAGAACACGAGATGGGCATGCCTACTCCTTCAGGGTCACATTTTGCAAGTCACAGGCTTTTTGCCTGTCCCACTGGTCAGAATGTATTACATAACTACACCTTATGGCATAACCTCAGTTACAAAAGAAAGCTGAGAGATATAGTGTTTACATTTCCCAAATACCCAGCTAAAGAGACTAATGACAAAGGGAGGAAAAGTATTTGGGAGGCCTCCAACTATCTCTGCCAGGGGCTCAATAGTTTGATTTGTTTTGTTTTTTATTTTTTTGTACCAGGGATCAAACTCAGGACCTTGCGCTTGAGAGGCAGGCACAGTGCCACTGAGCTACATCCCTGGGTGATTTGGTTTTTAAATTGAAAAGTTCAATCTTTTTTCCTGCACATTTTGTTTTTTGTTTTTTGTTTTCTGAGACAGAGTCTTGCCATGTAGCCCAGGCTGTCCTTGAACTCTTCTTTAAGTTTGTTTGTTTGTTTGTTTATTTTTGGTACCAGGGATCAAACTCAGAACCTTGCATTTTTGAGGCAGGTGGCGAAACCACTGAGCTAAATCCCTGGCCCTGGCCTTGAACTCTTAATGATCCTCATGCCAAGCCTCCTAAGTGCTGGGGTTACAGGCGTATGCCACCACACCTGGCCAGGAGTCTTATTAGAAACATTCAGCACTGGAAAGAAAATTAAAGTCACATTTGGTTGTAACCCATTCTCACCCCTCTTCTGAGTCACAATCACTGTCGCCGAGTGGGGTTCTGACTCTGACTTGGGAACCCTGAAATTCTGTGAGGAGGAAAGCCTCCCTGGTTCCTTCCCTTCCCCTGTCCAGGGTTCTTTCACCTCCTGTCCCCTCCATAGGGGGCCTTAACCTCCTGAGCATGATGGACCAGCACAAGCCTAGCACTTTAGCTCAGCACACATACGTAGCTGCAGTTCTACAGGTTAGAAGTCTTGCATGTGCTCACTACTCAGGAAATCCCAAGGTTGAAATCAAGGTGTAAACTGAGTGAGATAACACACACTTGTAATCCCAGCACTCAGGAGGCTGAGGCAGGAGGATCACTGTGAGTTTGAGGTCAGCCTGGGCTACATAGTGAAGTTAAGGTCAGCATGAATTACACAGCGAGATCCTGTCTTAAAACAAAAACAAGAATAGAAATCAAGGTATAGGCAGGACTGAGCCTGTCTAGAAGCCCTGGGGGGAAAATCCACTTGCAAAATCACCATTCCTGGCAGAATTTAGGTCAGTTCAACTAGGAGATCATGGCTCTTACTTCCTTGCCATCAGCTTTCGGGGGTCACCCACATCCCTGTCAGCAGCCTGTCGACTGTTAAGCTCGGGTGGACACAAATACTTCACATGCTGGAGAAGGGGCTGGTAAAGGGCTGGAACATGAGAGGATTAAATCACAGGTATGGAATCCCCCCTGGTACCCAAGTCGGGGATTATACAGGCTGTGCCCGCCACACCCAAGCCTGGCGCTGGCTCACCTGCCTCTCTGCTCTCCGCAGAGGACATCCTGGGTGTGCAGGCCACGCGGCCCTGGGAGTTCTATGCCAGCAGCTCCTGCCGCACCGCAGTCTTCCCACTGCTGACTTCTGGCTCTGCCTTCTGGGTACTCCGGCTCTGGGAGGAGCTGGGGCTGTGGCCAGGCCCCGTGAGTGGCTACGCGCTGCTGGTAGGACCCCGGCTTCTCCTCACCGCCCTCTCCTTTGCCCTGGACCGGGCTGTGTACCACCTGGCCCCACTGTGGGGCGCAGATCGCTGGCGTGCCCTGGTCCTGCTGTCCGGGTCCTACGTCACCCTGGTGTTCTATACCAGGACCTTCTCCAATGCCATCGAGGGGCTTCTCTTCACATGGCTGCTGGTGCTGGTATCCCCTCACCTGGCATGGTGCCTCACACCCAAGAAACCTGCCTCAGGCCCATGGTGGCACAGCTGCCTTCTTGGGGCTGTGGTGGCTGCTGGCTTCTTCAACCGGCCCACATTCCTGGCCTTCGCCCTGGTCCCCCTCCTCCTCTGGGGCCAGCGCGGAGCCCGGCAGCCCAGCTTGAAGTCCCTGGCCCAGGAGGGCCTGGCGCTACTCCCTGGGGCAGCCCTTGCCACAGGGGCCTTCGTGGCTGTGGACAGCTGGTACTTCTCCAGCCTCTCCAGGTCTAACAGCCTGGTCTTCACACCTGCCAACTTCCTGCGCTACAACCTGGATCCCCAAAACCTTGCCAGGCACGGCACACATACGCGGCTCACCCACCTGGCCCTCAATGGCTTCCTGCTCTTCGGGGTGCTGCACGCCCAGGCACTGCAGGCCTCATGGCAGCAGCTGCAAGTGGGCCTCCGGGTGTGGGCACAGATGGGCCTTGGGAGGGTGCCGGGCACCCTGAACTTGCTATCCAACCCCCGTGCATCCCTCCTCCTCCTCTACTTCGTGCCCCTGGCCCTGCTGTCTGCCTTCAGCCACCAGGAGGCTCGGTTCCTCATCCCCCTCCTCATCCCCCTAGTCCTGCTGTGCAGCCCACGGACCCACCCTGTGCCCTGGAAGGGCACCCTGGTCCTCTTCAATGCCATCGGTGCCCTCTTCTTCGGCTGCTTGCATCAGGGAGGCCTGGTACCCGGCCTGAGGGTCCTCGAGCAGGTGGTCCATGGCCCCGTGCGCCCAGGCCTGCCGACCCACTACACGCTCCTCTTCACTCGCACCTACATGCCGCCCCAGCACCTCCTGCACCTCCCAGGCTTCGAGTCACCCGTGGAGGTGGTGGACATGGGTGGGACTGAGGACTGGGTCCTGTGCCAAGCTGTGAAGAACTTCACCAGACAGCCGGCTTGCCAGGTGGCCGGTGGGCCATGGCTCTGCCGCCTCTTTGTGGTGATGCCTGGGACCACCAGGCACATCGTGGAGAAGTGCAGCTTCCCTCTCAAGAACCAGACACTCGTGTTTCCCCACCTGACCCTGGAGGACCCACCGAGCCTGTCCTCCCTGCTGAGTGGGGACTGGGGGGACCACCTTAGCTTGCACATCATGGAGCTGGAGGACATGCCTGAGGGTACAACACAGTAGTCACTGCCCAAGGTACGGCCGTAGAGGGGCCCTCCAGCTGGGCCAGACATGGGACAGGCCCTGGCCCCCCGCATTCCCACTGCCACCTCTCCCAGGCATGGCCATTGGTTGTTCTGCCTTCTGGGTGAGCCTGTGCTCTACTCAGACACCGTAGACCAGGCCTGTCACAGTCCTGATGCTAAGGTCCCCAAAGATCGGTGGTGTAACCAATGGCACCTAATGTCTGTCCCTAACCTATTGCTTCCAGCTACTGTTAATGTTTTAAATATATAGTAGTAACTGGTTGTGAATAAAAGATAATAAACTGCCAATGACAGTCCTGAGTGATCTCTCCCAGGTCACACTTCTTGCTCCTGTGACAATCCTTTGGCTTCCTAGGGTCAATCTGGCCTTGTAGGCACCTGGATGTGGTAGAGAACAGAGGGGTCTGATTCAGGGGACCCAGGTTCTAGTCCCTGCTCTGCCACTCACTGACTGTGATCTAGAGAAAGACCTTTCATCAGCCCACCCACCCTTCAATTTGTACCCAGAGCAGAGCACCTGTGAGGTGTCTGCCAACTAACACTGTCATTTCTGGGGTCCACACCACATGTCCCTGGCTTGACAGGCATGTTTCTCACAAATCTCTACCAGGGCATGGGATTTAGCTTACTGGTTCCACCGCCTGCCTTGAAAGGTCAAGGACTCGAGTTCGATCCCCGGTGCTGAAAACAAAAAACAAATCTCTTTACCCACAGAAATGAGAATTGTTATATTTAACACTACCATGGTGTCTGCTGTCCCAGTTTGGTTTTTGCCAAAACAAGTCACTCTGGAAATCTCCCCACTTTCCTCCACTCCTGTCCCTTAGAGGTGGTGGGAAACTCTCCAGCCATTTCTGCCCCTTGTCCTTAAGAATCATTCTCACAGCTGGGAATGTTGGTGCAGCCTTATAATCCCAGCACTCTGGGAGGCTGAGGCAGGAGACTGGAAGTTTGGGCTCAGCCTGGCTAACTTAGCAATTTAATGGGACCTTGCCTTAAAAGTAAAAAATAAAACGCCAGGGATGTAGCTCCATTTAAAGGCCCTAGGTTCAATTGCCAGTACCTACCCCTTCCCTCAAATAAAGGCTCTCCTTGCCAGGCGTGGTGGCTCATGCCTGTAATCCCAGCACTCAGCACTTGGGAGGCTGAGGCAGAAGGATTGCCAAAAGTTTGAAGCCAGCCTGGGCTACATAGTGAGTTCAAGACATGGCAAGACCGAGCCTTTTTAAAAAAAAAAAAAAAAAGGCTCTCCCAAAGGTTTGGGGCGTGGCTCAGTGGCAGAGTGCCTGGTTACTGCTCAGCTTGCTTGCAGTTCTGGGTTCAATCCTCAGTCCCCAAAGGGGAAAGTCTCAGGTCAAGGAGCCCAGCTGTCCTCTCTTCTCAGTTACACTGTGTGTCTTAGGGCCTCTCAACCTGGCCTAGTGGGAACCCTGAAAGCACAATGCTCAGGCAGCATCTGTAACCAGCCCAAAGAGTTTCCTAGATTGCATTGTAACAAGTGACAAGCCACAGAGGCAATTAGCAATGGTCAGCGCGAAAACAGGCCCTCTGTGTGAACTCCTCTTACCATGGCCCTGCGGCCCCGAGATTCCCAGCCCACCCCGCCCGAGAAGCACCACGCTCAGAACCATGACTCAGGTCACACTTTAATCAGGGAATGGCAGTGTGTCGTTCCGTCCTTCTTCCCTGCAGTCAGTGTCTGTCTACCAAGAGTTCGAGTCCCATCTGCGGGAGGCAGGCTCCGTCCGGGTGTGTCCACCGTCCGTGCCATGTCTGGGTGTCTGTCAGGGGCTTCTTCGGGGTCGTCCTCCACACGGTGCCCTTGGCCCGCTGCCAGGACGTCAGCTGGCGACAATCCGATCAGGACTCCTCAACCCCAAGGTCAGTGTTGGGCACCGAGGGAAAAGCAGGTGACCTCGGGCCGGCCCAGGCCGGCCTACGAGTTCGCGCCCGGGCCCCTCTGACTCCCTGGCGGCCCCGGGCGGTCGTGGAGGCCGCGCCGAAGCTCCCGGACGAAGGCGTCTCGGAATCTAGCCGCGCGGCGGCCCAGGTCGCCCGCGGGTCCCGCCGCGAGGGCCCGCAGGCGACGGGCCGCGTCCTGGCCATGCAGCTGTGCCTGGAGCAGCACGAAGGCCGTGAGCTGAGCCGCACGTCTGATGGGCCGCGACTCAGACAGCCGCTCCACCAGCTGCGGGCTGTGCAGCAGAGCGGCCAGCAGCCGCCTGAGAACCATACTCTTCCGCGCGCCCCGGAACCGCGAGCACTTTGCTCTACCTTCCCACCGGCCCCGCCACCCGAAGGACCTCTTCTGCGCCCGCGCCGGGTGATGAGGACACCGCTACGCGCGGATTGGTCGCACCCACTGCCACTGTGCAGCCGCCGTGCACGTTTCCGCTTCCGTCACCGCCAGAGCTCCTTAGCTGTTCACAGCGGCGAAGCAGCTTTCTCTACCTATTAGCATCATGTCAGGTGGCCTCTTGAAGGCGTTGCGCAGCGACTCCTACGTGGAGCTGAGCCAGTACCGGGACCAGCACTTTCGGGTAAGGCAGGCCGGGCCACGAGAGGAGCAGCCCTGGACCAGAACGCTGAAAGACGGGTTGGATTGGATTCATTGTCTCGTCTCCTTTTCGGCTGTTTTCACGAAACGCGAAGTGGGGTCCCCGTGCCTGCTGGAGAGGCGGGGGAATGGATGCCGGAAGGCCGTTTGGATATCCCTGAAAACACTTTATCTCTTGGAAGGGAGGGAATCTGAGACTCGGCTTCCCATTCCCTCGAAGCTGCTGTCTCAACTTGGCGACACTGTTGGTGCTTTGGAAAGTGTGTGGTGCGGGGCAGTGGGGAACCTTTCCGCCCCCTAGGGTATGCGATGACGCCTTGCTGACCCAGATGTTGATCATTCGCATTCTGCGTTTTGGCGCTTCTAGGTTTTTTCCTTCCGTACTGTAGGTTGAATCCAGGGCCTTCGCACTGAGCTACGTTTCCAAAATGCTGGGGTTGGCGATCCTCCTGCCTCAGCCTCTCAGAATGCTGGGATTACAAGTGTGCGCCACCACCCCCAGCTTCCTTTCTTTTTCTTTCTTTTTTTTTTTTTTTTTTTTGGACCGGGGATCGAACTCGGGACCTTGCGCTTTCCTTTCTTTCTTTAGTAGGATAATCCTATATGCTGTGGGTGAGAGACACAAAGTTGAGTTCTGTTTTGCCCTTGGGAAGGCCTCTAAGTGGAGAGGTGTGTGGATGTCAAGGTTAGAGAATTGCTGGGTTTCAGAAGAGGGAAATTTTAATTTAGACTATGTCTCTGGAGTCTGTGGAGAAGTGGAAAGCTGCAGATACTCCAAGTGAGGTTTTCTGTATCAGCAAAAGCCAGGGTGACAGAATGAGGCGGCACAGATTAACACAATAACGTTTACTGAGTGCTGTTGCTGAGCCGGGGGTGGGGTCAGGGGTCTGCACCCAAAGAGCTCAGTCCTGTAGCAGGGATTCAAATCAAAATCAAAATCCAAAGCAGAAATGATAAGCAGAGAGGAGCTGTGAAGATTCAGAAGAGGGCTAAAATTCTCTTGTGACTGGGAAGGGAGCACATACAGAAGAGGTAGGTGTGGAGGATGTGTAAAATGTATTAGTGGGGTAGGGAAAAGAAATTTTGATTGAGGCCAAATTAAATTCACTCAGTTAACAATTTTTGTTTCTTGTTTTTTGTTCCGGGGATCGAACTCAGGACCTTGCCCTTGCCAGGCAGGTGAGGCTCCACTGAGCTAAATCCTTTCATTTGTTTTGTTTGAGGCAGGGTCTCACTGTGCAGTTCAGGCTGGCCCTGAGCTCATTATGTAGCCCAGGCTGGCCCTGAACTCACAGTGACCCTCCTGCCTCTGCCTCCAGAGTGCTAGGATTATAGGCCTGCACCACACCGGGCATTAAGTAGGCTCTTTAAATTGTAAGATTAACTTTGACTCTATTTGTGAACTTCTAGGGTGACAATGAAGAACAAGAAAAATTACTGAAGAAAAGTTGTACATTGTATGTCGGAAATCTTTCCTTTTACACAACCGAAGAACAAATTTATGAACTCTTCAGCAAAAGTGGTGACATAAAGAAGATCATTATGGGTCTGGATAAAATGAAGAAAACAGCATGTGGCTTCTGTTTTGTGGAGTATCCTTTCTGAGTGTGTAATGTTGCTGTTGAACCAGGACAGAACGTAGAGTAGTTGATTGCCTGTTTGTGAAAAACGAGGATATTAGCTTATTAATACCTCTACCTCTTCCTGTGTGTCCACACCCTAGTGTCACTTAAAGCTGGTAATACCTATATTTTATCTGAAATTCATGTTTTGTTCAAGGTTGATCCTTTGAGAAAAATGTCAAGAATATATGCCTTTGGTAGCTGGACATGGTGGCGAATGCCTGTAATCCCAGCAATTTGATTCTGCGAGTTCAGGGCCAGCCTGGGCTACATAGTGAGACCCCGTCTCAAAGAAAACAAAACCCAAAAAAGAATATATACCTTTGGGCCAGGGGTGTAGCTCAGGGTAGAGTGCTTGCTTAGTGTGGGTGAGGTCTGGAGTTTGATGTCCAGCACCCAAAAAACTGTTTGGTGTTAAAAGCCCAAATAACATAGTGAAAGTAAAATCTCCCTGTGACTCTGAGTCCTTAATTCCTTTCCCAGAGTTACTATATGTCTTGGAGTCTTTCCAGAAATAATCCTATAGATGTGTGGTGGTGTTTTTTTCTTAACCTGTCTTGGAGATTTTTCCATGTCAGCACATGCAGGTCTGCCTATTTGGGGGGGGGGGTCCTGGGGCTCGAACTCGGGTCCTTGCGCTTATGCAGCAGGCAGTGAAACCACTGAGCTAAATCCCCGGCCCAGGTCTGCCTATTTTTTAAAATGCTATAAAGTATTCCATTATGTAGCTGTAGATTGATTTTATAGGTAAAAACTTGAAAACTATATGTATATATACATTTTTACAGTATTGGGGATTGAATTTAGGGCCTTCACACTGAGCTACATTCAACCATAAACTTACGTATGTTTTTGAGATAGGGTCTAAGTCATTAAATTGTACAGGTTAGGCTTGAACTTGCAGTTTTCCTCAGCCTCCTACAGTGGTGGGGTAACGTGTGCACCACCACTCCTGGCTCAAAAAGTTCACAGGGCACAGGGACGGGAACAGTGAAAAACCAAAGGGCGCTACCTAGCAGATGATGAGTCTCTGAGAACCAGTGTTTCCATTTGCCTTGTAGGTCCAAGATCAGTACTTGAGGGTCCAGGATTTAGCTCAGTGGTTTTGACGCCTGCTGTGCAGGCACAAGGACCCGAGTTCGATCCCTGGTACCAAAAAAGAAAAAAAAAACAAGATCAGTACTTGGGATGGCAGATGCCCCAAAAGAGCAGCGGCTGTGGCTGGCTGGCTTTTTGGGGAGGTGGAGTTAACTGAGAATTGAACCCAGGGACTTTCCACTGACCTACATCCCTGGCCCTTTTATATTTATATACATGGTCTCACTAAGTTGCCCAGACTGGGCTCAAACTTGGGTCCTCCTGCCTCAGCCTCCCATAATTCTGGGATTACAGGTGTGCATAATCACATGCTAGCCATTTTCTGTTCTAGCATTCATTTTTTAAAAAAAAAACAAAAAAACTGAAGGTCTACTGTGTGACAGGCATTGTCTAGGTGCTAGATGCTAGAATTTCACCAAGTATTTCTCTGTCTGTGTAAGAGAGGAAAAAAAATCTAATCAGCATTTTCCAAAGCCAGCTACTAATCATTAAGTTTTTAAAATACTATCCCCCAAGTGGATTAATAGATTTGAGGACTACTAACTTGGGTGTTTATGGTTGCTCTTGAATATACAGTGCCCACTTTGAATGTCATAGTTTCTTGAGTAAGAAAAATACAGTTTGTACTCCAAGCCTAAACCTATTTTATATTTTCCAAGTCAAAATATGGAGTCGAGGCCAGGGATTTAGCTCAGTGGGGGCACGCCTGACTTGTAAGTGCAACGTCCTGAGTTCGATCCCTGGTACCAAAAAGAAAGAAACCCCAAACAAACCCTGGTTTTAAGTCGCCAGCATTGAAAAAAGAAGGGCAGTGGGACCAAGTAGGTATTAGCAGGAGGATCCAGGAAAACTTTAGCAGTGTAACCCTGGAAAAGTGTGAGTTTTTCCTCTGCTAAGTACCTGTGCAGGGTGACTTGTCTGAAACTCCATCTAGTTGTATTAAGTTTTATACTTTATTTATTGGATCATACTGTTATTCTTAATAGTTTAACTTCATTTAGACGTTGCCTCTTGTGTTTCCAAAACATCTGGAGCAATGCTAGTGTTCCTTAATGCTAACACCTTAGATACTACTCGAGAGCAGATGCAGAAAATGCCATGCGTTTCATAAATGGAACTCGTCTGGATGACAGGATCATTCGCACAGACTGGGATGCAGGCTTTAAGGAGGGCAGGCAGTATGGGCGCGGGCGATCTGGAGGCCAGGTATGCAGGGTTTGTGAGCTGACCCTTTGCCTGGGATTCCAGGCACTATAGGTATTTCCTCAGTTTGTAGTTACTTGCTATCCTTTTATCTACAACCCTGATGAAAACCACTTATTGGTTTGATAAACTGTATTTGAAACTTTGAGACAGTCGGTTGTGTACACTTCTACACAGAACTGCAGGAGCTAGGTGTTTGCCAACAGCAAGTGTTGCAAAATGCACTGGAATGATTTTTAAAATAGCCTGCTATGTATGTCCTCTTGTTGGAATGCTCATGGGTGTGTAAGGTTTGGCTCTTTGACATGGTTGTGGGAGGCATACTCATTACACCTGTCTCCTCTACACTAAGCTTTGTGTTCTTTCCCATTAAGGTTCGCGATGAATACCGGCAGGACTATGATGCAGGAAGAGGGGGTTATGGAAAACTTGCACAAAAGCAGTGAGTGGCAGGAGCCATATCAGTGCAAAATTCCCTCCCTCCCTCCTGGTAACTGCTGAAAAAGTTACCAGAACCATTTTCTGTTACCAGATCAAAAAGTGTGTTCCTTGTGGCTGGGGATGGAGTTCAGTTTCAGTTATAGAGCAAAAAGAAATGTGTTCCTCAGCAGCAGATTCAGCCTATGATGTTACTCTGTCAGCCAAAAATACACTTACAGGAAGACTAGAAAAATGTAAGTTTCTTTTCTGATGCTAGGGTCTAAGTAGGCTCATGATCTACACTGGAACTTGGAACAGTTCTTTTTTAAATTTGAAGTTTGCATGATGTAAAGTTTTTTAGGGTAAAATGGAGTTTTGCTATGTTGTATAGTTTTGCTGTAAATTAAGAAGAGTTGTCTGATAACTGCATTTGTTTTCTATGTTGAATTCTAATTTCTAAAGGCAAACTTTGACCTTCCTAAGTATTTGCACAAAAGCCTGAGGTCTCAGGACTCCCTCCACCCCAGTTCTGTGCTTTAGTGCAGGACTTGAGTTCTTCTAAATACATTTTTCAAAAGATGTGATGTTTTGCCTAAAACTAAAAAAGTCTAACATGGAGACCCCCAAAGAATTTATTTTGCATTTGTAAAGCAAGAGATGATTTATGTGAGTATAATTTTCCCTAATTAGAAAAAATACAAAATGTTTTCATCTAGCAAAAGAGCATCTTCCAACATCCAGTAGTACATGAAGGTTGTGGCTGGAGTTCGCTACGGTGAACATCTTTCATGTTAGACCAAGTGTGGTTTTCTCAGTCAATTCCAAACTGGTTATTGTAATTTTTTAAAGCACTGTTGATAGTTGTGAAGAAGAAACCATTTACAAACATCTAATGATACACTATTCATTTGTAGACATGTTTTTACACTGTACTTTGAACTAATTTATATTCTTTTGTAGTAAGATGTAACTCAGATTTCTAAAGGCCTTAAAACCAAAGATATTGGTTCTTATTTGTCTTTTGTAATAGATTACAATAAAGTTGGACCAACTTATTAAGTCTCTGATGTCCTGTTTCCTCACCTTTAAAGAAGGATGTGTCCTTCAAACCCTTTGTGTTCAGGACTGTAAATGAATCTAGGGGAGAATCTGAGTAATGTGCAGAATTTATGTGTCTATTTCAGTCTGACACAACAGTTACGGCTTCACATGAAGAGAAAACAGGAATGTTCTTGTGAAAGTGACAAAAGATGCACTAAGCAACCACTCATGGACTAGGTTAGTTTTCTAGAAAACGTACACTGTGGGTGACTGGAGGGAAAGGAGGTTGGGGTTGAATTAAGGAGACCTGATGTTTCTTTCTCGGGCTTGAGGATGCTAACATGACTCCTTTCGTTGCACCTTCATCCTTGTTTCTCTCAGGAACAGCATCTGACCTCTCACTTTAGACAAAGTGAGAACGCAGGCATGTGTATTGGCTGAGACTAGGGAATATCAGAATGGGTGAAACATCAGATGTAGCCAGACTGGGATCTGTAGAATTACTGGGTTCCGAAACATTACCTAAAGTAAGAAACGAGACTCAATCAAGAGTTCTGCCACCCAATATGGTTCCCACTTGCTACCTGTGTCTATTTAAGAAAAACTAAACATACAACTTCACAGTCACACTAACCACAATTTGGAGTGCTCAACAGACACAGACGGCCAGTGGTTGTTGTAGTGAATGCAAACGCAGAATATTTCTATCATTTCAGAAAATTCTGTTGGACAGTGTTGCTCTAAGGGCTGGCTGCTTAGTCCCTGTATGGTCACTGTCCTAAATGACCCTTCTTGGGCCGGGGATTTAGCTCAGTGGTTCCGGCGCCTGCCTCACAAGTGCAAGGTCCCGAATTCGATCCCCGGTACAAAAAAAACCAAAACACAAACAAAAAAAAACCGCAGACACTAAATGACCCTTCATGACTGTCATCAACAGGAAAGCGCACCACACAGTCCACACGGTATTCAACAAGAGAGAACACAAGTTTATAAAGGCATTTAGTTTATTCTTCAAAAAAATACTTTGCTAGAAGGGTTGAGCACTGTAACTTTACATGATCATAATTTTTAAATAAATTCTTTTTCTGACCAACAAGTCCCATTTAAGTGAACAACTTGTCTAGGTCTGTTTTTGTAACACCCAAATACAATTAGCACTTCTCAATGGTATTTCCTCTACAGGCCAGGAAGCAGTACCTAGCACATAATGAGATATGTGCTTCACGACAGCTGAGTATTGTGGTTTTTCACATGACTACACGGGGCAGGTAACTGGTTTTTGTCATTCATACTATTAATTCATTGTTTCTTGCCTAAAGGGTCATGACCCACCCAGACGCCTCAATCACTCCTAATCCAGGGAAGCAGTGAAACAACTGTACAGAAGAAAGGCATCTCAGATTAGGCAAGTGCTGGCTGTGTCCCAGTTAGGTGTTATTTTGTTCCAACTACAAATTCAAAATGACCAGGCTACTCCTACTCAATGGTAAGTAGAAAATGTAATGCCAAGCTGAAAATGTGATGGGATTATGGCAGCAGCTTGTTCTTTTCCCTTCCTTAAAGAGGCTAACTGAAAGTTGATTCTCTATGATTGAGAAAACTAAACGATGAATTAATCTACATTCATTACTATCGATTTAACAAAAGGAAAGCCCACTGGAAAGCAGCAGTGACAGCCTGCTAGGGCTGTCAAGGGAGAGGCCTGGGCAGCTTGTTGAAAGCTCATCACAAATGGCTCTGCATCTGTGCGTGGCCTGCTTGACCCCACTGGCACAGTCTGCTTCCCTTGGGTGCACCTACAGTTCATTCAGGGCCAGGCTGCTGACAGAAAAGCAGTGCTTCACTTCTCTCACCAACCGCCCAGAGTATATTTCAAAAATGCCTTTGTTACAAGGAAGCAATTGCTGCAAACATCCTGAAGAGACTTTCTAATCTAGGACTTCAGCTAAACAAAGGTTTATACCTAATCACAAGGAGAGAGGGAATAGCAACTCCGTGTGCCGAAACCATGAATGTTTCATGAACAACAGAAACATTTTATTTAAGAAAACAGAATAGCCACCATTTAGGCTAACCACACTGGGCAGCACACCCCAAGGTACCCCATTATGCTAGACATGAGTAGCTGGACTTGGAGAGCTCATGGGAGGTCTCTAAGCTTGTCCCTGTGCCTCAGTGCTGGGTGAGGCCCAGTTCTCAGGTTAAAAGGTGGCAGCCCAAGCTCTAGGCATTAGGGTTTTTTCAGGAGGGTGGGAGACGTGGCTCAATGGTATAGCATCTGTCAGGCTCTTGGGAGCCCTGGGTTCAATGCCCACCACCACCACCAAAAAAAAAGATTCTTCCAGAAACAATCCTTCCTGACTCCCCTGCATGACAAGTCTGGGAAGTGGTACATAACTTTCTCACTCTGAAGGAAAAGACATTTTGAATCAATAGCCTCAATACTGGCTACTTTGATACAGGTACTCAAAGAAAAGCCAAATGTCTTGCATATAAATTTTGAACAATCATACTTGCATAATTATGTCTGAAAACTTTTAAGAAGACATCTTCCCCATTCTGACTTGTCCTCTTTCCTAACAGTAACACAGCCTTACCTGTAGCAGCATAAAATGCCTCTGCTCCCAGGTTTTTAAGGACCTGACGCACAATAAGAAATATTGGCCTGGCCTTCTGCTGAGGAGTTTGAGTCTAGAGGACTCAGAAGTGGAAGGGCTTGGCTGGTATTGGAAGCCCTGCACATAAAACCCACCAGTCAGACTCAACCCTCAGCTGGGAGCAGGCAGCCCTGTCTCAGCCAGACCTGTGGCCAAGTTACACTTTTTGTTTTTTCAGCACTCCAAACCTACCCAGCAATAAGTTTAAGTGTCGTCTGCCATTTGCTTGGTTTTTTCTGTATAAGCCTCTCAGTTTCTTACATATACATTTTACTTCCCCAGATCAGAAAAGATAATTGGGTAAATTTACTATGAATCTTTCCATATTTCCTTTCCTTTCCAGATTACAGATGGAAGATCCATTGCTTTCATCCTAATCCAGCTAAGTATAGGGACAGGCCACTTTAGGGCCTGTCCCAGAAGACGAATTTCATTAGAAAGGAAAAAGCAAAGTTAGGACTGGGTGGGCAGAAGCCACACAAGCCTTGCACATTGCTGAGGTCACTAAAGACAGGAGAGAGACATTTCTAAGATATCTCCCAGGGAACCAAACTGTCTATTACCTCCCTTTCTCTCTGCCCACCTGCAAAAGACCTGGTTAGCCTACTGTTTTCAATGTATTTCAGACAGAAATGTAGTTGGTAAATTTTAATTTCTTCCACATGGAAGGCCACATAAGGGAAGTGACAACTTGCAGATTACTTCCAGAAAGGTTGAATTCTCATTTGACCATTAGTTTGGTGGTTGCTAAATTTTTTCACTAGTCAAAAACAAAAATCCAGGGACTTCAATGTCCCAGCAAAGGCCTTGATGAGCTTTAGGGTATGGACTGTAATTCCCAAGACCAAGACTAAAATCTCATTTGTTAAGATAACTGGCACCCAGGACGCTGCTTTCTGCTCAGACCCTGACTCTCCCCAAGCAGGCGCTGCAATGTCAGGAGCCTCTTCATGGACGGCTGCCCCAGGGGAAGTCAGCCAGAGGTGTGGCTGGCAAAGTAAACAGGACTGGCTCCATCAGGACCACTCCTCGATACCCCTTTTGCCCCAAGAAGCACCTACTACTCTGAGTTATGCTGTATCAAAAACATCTTGCATCTTCAGGTTCTGGAATTAAAATTTAAACCTGTATTCAGTTCACATCTAAGTTTCAAAAGTTGCACCAAATCTACTAGGCTTTTTTTTAATACTCTTCACTGCATGCTCTGTCTATATGCATGCGTTTGGATAATAAATATTAAATATGGGAGGGACACATGGAATCCACAAAATTAAAAATGAAACCAAAATGAACGTTAAAAAAGTACATGGTAGCTGGGGAAATGAGTAAGGGCAAAAATAAATTTGAGGTAACAGTAGTGGCCCAATACCACTGATTTGAAGTATCTGTAAAAATCCAAATAAGTGGAGATTCAAGTAATAAACCATCTGCTCCAACTTGGTCAGACTTTGCGAGTCCTCGCCGGGTTCAGTCCAGGAGCCGGCACTCACACAGCTCCTTGTAGATCCGCTTGCGCACGCGCGGCATGTCTTCCTGCGAAAACTGGAAAGGCTGCTCCAAGGCGAGGCACTTGCAGTACTGCAAAGTCCCAGAAATACATAAGTGGCACATGGGGATATATGCCAGCCAGTGCCAGAGGCAGATCCCACAGTCTAAGTAGCATTTTAAGGTCTGTGCAAACTTGGAAAACATCGTTCTAAAACATTCACCTCAGATTCGTTAGCTTTGCAGACAAGGGGATGGCACCACCCTCCCTCACCCCTGCCCAACTCCACACCGTGGAAGGCAGCAGCCGGGAAGAGGCTCCGTCCTCACCCAGTGCAGCCTGCTGCTGACCATGCAGTTGGAGCTGGCATGAACTCGCTCACAAATTCCAACATGAGGATGAACCTATCCTCCCAGGTCTTTGCAAATGGCTAAATTCATGGATCATAAATACAGGTATAACTGAAATTTTTCCACAGCTCTTATAGATCTACAAGGGGATTTAGCATGACACAGCAGTTTTTGAAAGTGACACTTATTTAAAATCTCATTATGCAAAGACTTCCAGGTTATCTGCAGATTTTTTTTTTTTAAGTTAATTCTGCCAATGCCAAGGGCCTGTGATACAGACAAATGCAAGTCCCTCTCCAGAGTGGCTTGCAAATGACTGGATAAGACCTGTATGATACTCATTGCTCATCCTTGGCCCAGGGAGCTGGTTCTTCCTGGAGTCCATCGGAAAGGCCAGAACTTCGCCTCAACAAGGGCAGGCAGAGGAGTGAAAGCATTCTGCCCCCTGGACCTGGTATCCGAGCACACAAAGGGACTGCCATGTTTCCTCCCTGAACCCAACAAACAATTCACACATTGCAAATTCTAAAAAAACATCTTTACCTGGAGCACGAAGACTCCACAGTCACTGTCATTTTTCTGTTGTGGGATACACTGAGAAAAAACAAGATGGCCATTAAAATAAGATCAAGTACTGCACTTAAACTGTTGTTGTTTCACGTGTGTGGTGCTGGGGATCAGACCCAAGGACCTCACACATGCTGGGCAAGTGCTCTACCACTGAGCTACAGCCCCTGTTTTATGGACAAATGAGCGAGACAGGAAACTTGTCTACCTAGGACAGCTGATACCTCTGGTATCCTTTTTCTTTTTTGGAGTACTAGAGATTGAACCCAGGGCCTTTGCACTGAGCTGTATCCCTACCCCTTTTAAAAAATTTGAGACAGCTGGGTGTGGTGGCCCACACCTGCAATCCTAGCACTTGGGAGGCTGAGGCAGGAGGATCACCATGAATTCAAGGCCAGCCTGAACCACATAGCAGGACCCTGTCTCAAAAAACCAAAATAAATAAAATACAATAAAATGAAATTCTGAAACAGGTTCCTGACAAAGTCTCTAAGTAGTCCAGCCTGGGCTCAAATTTGCCTTTCTTCTGCCTCAGCTTCCCGGAGTGGTGGATTTACAGGTGGATACCATCACCCGCAGCACCTCTGGTAACTTAAGCATGCGATTTTATGGAGGCATCTGGCCACATGAAAAGAGCGATCAAGTGACAACCACATTTTACAGAACATTTTGCCTAAACATGAGAAATGGGAAATCAGATTAAAAAACCTATTTTTAAAACATCCATTTAGATAATTAGTTTTACTATCAATTCACTGGCAATGGAATCAAAATGGAACTGTGGATCAAAGAACATTTGCCTGGCTCTGAACACTGAGGTAGTACAACTCTGCTTGGCAGCTTTTACCCTCATATCACAGGTGTTATACAACACTGTCCTGTTCTTTGCAAGAAAGCATAAAGGCCGGGCATAGTGGCACATGCCTGTAATCCTAGCATTTGGGAGGCTGAGACAGGAGGATCACTGCAAGTCCAAGGCCATCATGAACTACATAGCAAACCTTGTCTCAAAGAAACAAAACAAAACAAAAAGCCAGGCCAGGGATTTAGCTCAGTGGTTCTGGCACCTGCCTTGCAAGTGCAAGGACCTGAGTTCGATCCCCGGTACCAAAAAAAAAAAACAACAAAAAGCCACAAAGGTAAACAGTACGTTTCCAAAAGAACCAGTTACATATTCTGCCTAAAGTGGGAATATGTAAGATCCTGACTAAATTTAGAATACATACCTAGTAGTCTAGTTGGGTAAATTCACAAAACTTATAAATTCAATGCTGGCTTGAACTAGAATAGTAGGCTATTAGAAATACAAAAGTTTGGATTAATTTTAAAAGTATTTGAATGAACTAATAAACTAGTACGCAAGGATAAACTAATCTTGTTTGTTTGGGTTTGGGTTAAAGGTTTGTTCTAGGGCTCTGCCTACATTGGGTTCAAGGACCTGCCACTATCAATACTTCTGAGGTCCTCGGGGCAAGGTCACACCTTGGTACAGTTTTCCTATCTACAAAATAAAGATGCCACTCACCCCTAAATGACTGCCTCTTTCCCAGGTTCTAAGGGTCAAATGGAATCAAGTGGTCATTTTAGCACTTCTCCAAGTCTATCTGAGTCTATGAAAATAGAGCCACAGGGCAAAAGAAGGCAAGCGCCTAACCAATTTGTTTTATACTCCAGCAACCACATCCTTAGCAGCTGCCCCAGGGATGAAAAGGCTGAAGCATTTGCTCCCAGCAAGCACAGGAAACCGAGCAGCCAGGGCATTGAACTCTAAACAGGATTATTCTGAGCCCCCTCTCCCCCCAGGTAGCCTCCTCCAGTTTCTCTTGGTCACTGTCGCTCCCCTCCCTGGACATCCGGAGTCCCACATGTGTCCCAGACTTACCTTCGTAACAGCAGTCTGCCAACCCTGCAGAAATTCAGGTCTGTTTTTTTCTCTGGCTTCAGTCAGCAAATACTTTCTTATATTCTGGTTAAAAAGAAACCACAATACAGATGCTCTGTTCTATTGGTTGGCGAAAGGTGGACCCTGCCCACAGCAGACAAACACAGAAGAGGCAGCTGGGACCACAAGCATAGGGCAGAGCATGCATTAAAGAGCTAGGTTAGAGTCAGTTCCATTAAAGCTGGAACTTTATTCCTGAGCTTTCATTTCATATGGTAAAGGAAGACTCAGATCTTTTGCATTCAAAGTAAGAACTCAGACTGCAGACACCGCTGTTTGTTTCACTTAGCACATTTTATGAGATAGTTAGCCACCTTTACCAGCAGTAAGTCAATTTACATACTGGCAAGGCAAAAAGAAAGTCTGAATCACTCCCAATGTTCAACAGAGGAAAGGAAGCCATGGCAGAAATCACTAGTATAAGTGAAAAGCTCTCCAGGTGGAGACAGGCTCCTTATTTTTGAAGGCAGCAGGAAAAGTGACACTTGTTTTCAGGAAGTTATTTCAACACATTCTGAACATTGAATACAGTCAAGTCTACTGTGGAAGTCTCTACCATGATGAAGCCTGCTGGCGTTTCAAACTGTTCCTCTGCCCTCAAGCTCTCTCTCTGTATTTCTCTAAATATCAAAGATGGTATCAGAGGTTATGGGAATTAAAAACACTCCTCCAGTCAAAGATGGAATAGAATAAGCTACCTCTTTGGAAGAAAAACTATTTGGTGAAAGCAATTACTTCTGCAGGGTATGGTACTAGGGATTGAACCCAGGATCTTCAACCCTTTTATTTTTCTTTTTTTTTGGTACCAGGGATCGAATTCAGGACCTTGCGCTTTCGAGGCAGGCGGTAGAACCACTGAGCTAAGTCACCGGCCCCTTTAATTTTTTATTTTGAGACAAGGTCTCATTAAATCAAGTTGTGCAGGCTGGGATCCCGGTAACCCCACAGGCCTGACATACGGAAGTTTTAATTATGAAATGGTCAAATTTATTGCCGGGCGTGGTGGTGCATGCCTGTAATCCCAGCACTCAGGAGGTTAAAAGGAGAACTGACACAAAAGTTTGAGGCCAGCTGGGCTACATAGTGAGACCCTGTCTCAAAAAACAAACAAAAAAATGTATCTAATTGTCCTTGAGTCTACTGGGGCATAGTAACAAAACCTCCCTTACTCAAGAACACAGCGTCTTCTATGTTTTATTCAAAATACTTTCATAATTTTGTATTTAGATCTTTATTATATCTGAAATGCTTTATAAATAGTATCAAGTAAGGATATTTTATTTTTCCAAATAGATAGCTTTTTTTTTTTTTGAGACAAGGTCTCACTATGTATTTCAGGCTGGTCTTGAACTCATGGCAATCTTCCTGCCTCAGCCTCCAGAGTGCTGGGATTACAGGCATGTGCCACTACGCCTGGTTCTAAATAACCTATCTTTTTCCCAACTAAATTCTCATTTGTACATGAGATATTTCTGGATTCTTCATGCTATTTCACCAATTTATTTGTGTATTCCAAAGCCAATATAGACATAGTTTTAATTATTTAAAAAATCTGTAACATGGTTTGGTAGCTAGTAGAGTAACTATGCTCTCCCAGTTCTAGTTCAAACATGTTTTGGCTGTTCATGCACATGAATTCTGCAATACGAATTCTAGGAGCTATTCAAGTTCCATTCAAAATCCTGTTGGGAAACTGAATAGGATGAAAATTGGTATAAATTAGTTTGAACAGAACTGATCTCTTTCCAATATTTAGTCTGCCTATCTTACCATCTATTCAGATTTCCTTTAAATATTTACTTTTTTTTTTCAGTACCCCAAGGGGATAGAACTGAGGACCTTGCGCTTGCCAGGCAAGGGAAGCACCACTGAGCTACATCCCCAGCCTTCCTTTAAATGTTTAAGTAAAGTTTTAGAGTTTTCACCATAAATAATTTACACAGTTCTTGCTAGGGGATATGCCTGTGTAGTTTATGCTTTGTTGCTTTTGTAAATGGGATTTCATCTTTTCAGTTACATTTTTTAGCTGGTTCTTGATTGTGCAGGAGAAGCCAAAAAGATTTTCTGGCTTTTGCATCTCATCATCTTGTTGAACAATTAATATGAATCTTAGCTGAACTCTAATACTGTGCTGGATGATTTTCTTAAGTTATGATTTATTCTACTTATTTTGAGCCAATCTTAGCTCTAAGAGAAACCAAGGAAAACAGTCTCTAATCCATATTCAAGAAGTAGTTTTAAAGGAAAACACCAAAAAAATGCTGACAAAAATCATGTAGGGCATCTACGTACTTCCGAGGGGTTCTGGATCGTGGAAGCCACCTCTCCCTATCTGGGAGGAGTTCTCTGTAGTTCTTTTCTTTGCCCCTAGTTAAGAGAGTTCTCAGGACAAAAACTGTTCCTCTACATCTCTGACTTCTGTTGTTCTATTACAGATAAGATGGGACTTGGCCAATCATAAGATAAATGAGAAAACATGTAGGATTTTAACTTACCTCTACACAAAACTTAAAATGAATGCCTTGTGAATCATAAAATGAAATAATTCGATTAGAGAGTGTCACTGTAATGAGAGACCAGTGGACTTCCAAGTGAATAGGAATCAACAGAAGACTCTTTTTAAACAAATCCACCTGTTGAAGAAAAGAGAAAGAAATGCAGTTATCATCATGGAACAAGTAGCAAATGGCAGCTTCCACTAAATGACCTCTGACCTGCCCAAGGTCATAAAACTGGGAAGCCCTAAGCCAGAATCTGCACCCAGATCTTAACTCTAAAGCCCATACTTTTAACTACTAGGCTGTAATACATAACAAAACGAAAAATGAAGATATAGAAAGTACTGTTTTTCACTTAATCTACTAAGCTGTGTTTATCAACAGTCCAGTATGACTTGGTCGCTTATTTTTATGCTTACCTAATTTTCTTGGGCACATTCTGACCTAGACCCCACTCTTGTCTAGGAAGAAACCACAGTATTAGAAAACACCAAAAGGTCTACCCTTCCTTCCCTCTTTCCATGGGGTAGTTATAGACATTAAGCTCACAGGTTCTGAATCAAGTCTGCATAAGTTCAAATTGTGGTTCTTAAAAACAAACAAACAAGGCTGGGGATTTAGCTCAGTAGTTTCGCCACCTGCTGCGAAAGTGCAAGGACCCAAGTTCGATTCCTGGTACCAAAAACAAAACAAAACAAACAAACAAAGAAAAGACAACATTTTTGCTGGGGATTAAGCTCAGTGATTCTGCCGCCTGCCTCTCAAAGTGCAAGGTCCCGAGTTCAATCCCCGGTACCAAAAAGAAAAAAAAAAGACAAATTGGGGTTCTACTACTTATTGGTCAAATGACTTCTGCAATATTGTTAGCCTCTTTGTGCCTTGATTTCAACTATAAAATGCAGAAAACAATGGTACCCACCTTATGAAGCTGTTGAGAGTAACAAAAGAATACACAAAAAAAATCCACAAAACTATGCTTAGCATATTATAAGCAGCAAATAAAGCCTAGTTATTATCATTACTTCAAAATGCAAAAAAAAAAGAAATCCAAAGCAACTGGACATCATTCGTGTCTCTCAGATGTCAAAATTAACAAATACTTTACACAACCCTTTACATCCCAGCTGTAAACTGGATGCTAAAGAAGTAGGTGCTTCTTTCTTTTTACAGGTAGTTTTTGAAAATCCTTAAGAGATTCCTTGGGTTAAAACAATAACAAGACTACTTTAAACTATATGAGATTCTTAGAAACCAATATAGCCAGTCTCCCTTCTTGCTGTCTCATATTCAGATAATATCCTGCTATGATGATGCTTTAGTTTAGTCTGCAGGCTTGGAGCAAAGCACTTTAGCAGCTCTAGGCCTGGGGTTGGGGGATGGGCAGCTATCTGCAAGCTTCTCAGACCCAATCGTTCCTTGGGGGTCATGCACATTCTATACCATCCCCCATCAAGACTGAGGACATCAGGCTAAGAGCAACTCAGGGTCATTTTCAGGGTTTGCAGGGAGACTCAATCGGCAGCTTTCACAATGCTGGTTCCAGCACTGTGACCCTGGAGTGGTGCCTAGAAGTCTTCAAACCTCCAATCGCCTTCAAGTCCAGGAAAAGCAGAGCTCGAAGACCACCCACGGTGAGACCAATCTTCCCCCCACACAGAAGTGATTGCCCTGTGACCAACTGAGGGTGCTCTCCCTTCTGTTCTCCCTTACATTCTAACTCTAGTAAACCTTTCCATGCCTCACACCCACACATCCAAAAATTCTTTTTCCCAGACATGGGTCAAGAACCTAGTTGAGCTGAGCTGAAGCCCCATCTTCTCCTTGGGAGACCTCCTCCAGTGACATGAACAACCAGGAAACATGTTTCTCCAAGTTCCATGAGCTGCCCTAGGAAATTACATAACTGAACCAAAGGAGGAGCTGTGGGAACTCTGATTTACAGATGCATGGTCAGAAGCAGCATGAGTAAAATCATCCCAGGCACCAGGAGGGCTCAGTCTTGTGGTACCAAGTCCTCAACTTGTGGGTCTATCTCCAGGCAGACAGCATCACAACTGGTTTGAACTGGAGGGTGCATGGCTGGTGTCCAACTCAGAACTGATGACTTGCAGGGTGTGTTGGCGCATGCCTGTACTCCCAGCACTCAGGAGGCTGAGACAAGAGGATCACCATGAGTTTGAGACCAGCCTGGGCTACACAGTAAGTTCAAGGCCAGCCTGAACTGTATAGCGAGACCCCATCTCAAAAAAAACCTGATGGCTGGCTAGTAGTGGGGACATAGAGCGCTCTGTATTAAGAAACTGAGCTCAGCCCCTCCCCATTCCCTGCCCTCTTTTTTCTCTCCCTTTCTGGGCTGTGGATCAAACCCAGGGCCTCAGGCTTTCCCACTGAGCTACAGTCCCAGCCTGAGTCTGTTTCTACTCACTCTAATCTCTTTCATGTATCACTCCAGTCAAACTCACTTCTGCTGCAGGGCCTTTAAATTCGCTCTTCCTCTACCTAGATCTCTTCTGACCTTCAGGAGGTTGGTCCTTGTCACAACTGAGTTTTCAGTGAACCGTGAGCTCTTCAAAGCTTTTCCTTACTCTTCTCTCTACAAGAGCTAGTTCTCCTTCCACCTCCCCCAGCAGTCTTTCCCCCATTACTTTGCCCTTTCATACTCTTGTTTTTCTCTCTTCCCTTTTGCAGATCTGGGGTCAAACCCAGGGCCTAGTGCATGCCAGGCAAGTGCTCTCACACTAGCTAACACCCCAGGCCTATACTCTGTTCTAACTTCTCCAAGCAAACAGCACTTAGCACTCCCAGATTAGATTTTACTCACTGGCTTACTTCTAAATCCCAGGAGAACAAAGGGTTTATCTTTCTTCCTACTCCTCAATCCTTAATGACCAGAAAAGTGCTTGACATATAAGAGGTCAATACTTTGATTTGGTAATTCAATACTTGCTTTCACATTCCTTGAACTCCACAATGCTAAAAACTAAAGAAAACAGCAGCAGCAATACAGAAGTCACATACAGCAGTCTATTTTTATTTTCTCTTCATATAGCCTATTTTAGTTCTTACCAATAGTTACCCTTATAACCTTAAAATAATTCAGCAAACACTGGTCTGGTATTATTACCTGAAATAAAAGTCTCATGCAAAGTTCACTCCAGAAGGGAGACAATAAATGTATAGTGTAGCACCAGGAAAGGAAATAAAGGAAGAGAAGGGCAGGATGCTGGGGATTTCTACTGTTATTTATTTTTTGTAGTGCTGGGACTGAACCAGTGCCCTGTGTACGACAGGCACACGCTCTGCCCCTGGAATGCATCACCAGCCCTGGTGGGTGCTACTGTGGACAAGACAACCAAGGCTCGGCTCTGAGGAGAGCACATTTAAGTAGAGACTGCGATGAAATGAGGGAGTGAGTCATACATGTATCCCACCAGGGAAGAGCATTCTCAGCAGATGGGACAGAAAGCACAAAGGGCTTGAGACCATGAGTGGCCCCAGGAAGCTCCTCATGAGGCTGGAGCATATGACCGAGGGAAGAAGAGTAACAGGACATACAGCTTAACCTACATTTTTCAATTTATCAATTCCAGAAACCCTTTGTCTATCACCTTCGCTTTATAAAAGATTATGAAATTAGTAACATACCTTTCACTCTTGATTTGGTTAGCATTACATCAGTTTGGAATATACTTACTTCAAGAAACAGTGACTAAAACAAGGTTTACCAATAACGTATTCCAAGAAATTGACTTATCAACACATCCAGCATTTTCTTTTTTCTTTTTTTGCTACTATAATTAGCAATTAGATGAACTTTTTTTCACATATAGAACTTTTTGAAATTTCCTTGGAATTGTCAGCAGGTGAATTACCAAATCAAAGAACTGAAATTCACATTTGGCAAGTAATATTATCAAAGGTGAAGTTTAGAAGAATTAGGTAATCTGACCAAGATCTACAGCTAGTTAAGGGACCAAACTAGGATTTGAACTCAAGTCTGATTCCTGAATTCATTATTATCTATTTCCCCAAATTTGTACTCTTCTTAGTACATACTTTACACAAAATTATTTTTGTCTTTGACTACATAAGACAAGAATCACTTTTAAATGTCTCCATTCCATCTAGTACAACCCTTTTTTTTGCAGTACTGGGATCAAACCCAAGGCCTTGCACATACGAGGCCAAGTGCGCTACCACTGAACTATATATGTCACATCCCCAGTCCTCCAAACAGTACAAAAAGTGAAAAGTTAGCCAGAAGTAGTGACACACCCCTGTGAGCCCAGCATTCCAAGGCAGAGGGATTGAAAGTTTCACCCCAGCTTGGGCAATTTAGCAATTTAGCAAAACCTTGTCTCAAAATAAGCAATAAAAAAGGGATATAGCTAGGGATAAAGGACCTGGCTTTATTACCATTACCAACAATCAATCAGTGAAAAGTTACAGTATCTGTAGAACTGGGACTTGAATTTAAACTTGCTGGTGTCAAAATATCAAAAATAGAACATAAATGACCTTTTTTTTCTGGTACCAGGGACTGAACTTGGGACTTTGCGCTTGGGAGGCAGACGGTGGAACTACTGAGCTAAATCTCTGGCCCCATAAATGAGCTTTTAAAATAATGCTAAAAAAAAAAAAAAAAATGCTTCTGGCCCAGTCACTGAAAGCACTTTAGATTACCCTGACTTATTTTGTTTTGCAACTGATCAATCTAAGGTTCAAACTGAGTGTCCTGTCCAGCTTGCATAGCAAGCTAACAGCCATGCTGGACTGTGAACTCCCAGCCAATGTTCTTTTAGTTCTGCATATGCCAATCCATGGGGAGATGCAAAAGCCTCACTGTCTTCCCTTTCAGACAATGAAGTTAAAAACAGTCACATTAACGTTTGTTTCTAATTAACGTATTTCATTAAAGTTTTTATCTTGCCACCCAAAGTGGCCTGTTCTCGATTTCAAATTTAGAATAAAAGAAAAAAAACAATACCTTTTTAGTCCATCTCTTAACTCCATTATATCCTTTGGTTACCAGCTGTCTATGAAAAAAGCTGTTGAAGAAGTGAACCTAGAACAGACACCAAATACGAGAAACCAGATTATATTACGCTGTGCCTACTTTTAACTTCAAAAGAAAATGGAAAATGTTTAAATGTGTGAACATAAAACAGACAAAAAGGGGAGGAAAAGTTTCTTCTTAAAAATAATGATCAAAATATAGACAATACATTACATGGTTTACAGAAGATTCTGTTCCAAATTTTCAATAGAATGACCTTATAGCTGTGGTCTACAGTCAGAACTGGAGTGGGGCAGTAAGCAGATTACCTGAATCCAATCAAGTAGAGAAGCAACCTGACAAATCTCTCCAAATCAGGTGATAAAGTTGAAAGAGGCTATGAAAAAATGAGGGAACGATTACCTTGAACTCAAGGGATATGGATTACAAAACTAACCCCATCTGAAGGAGGTGGATTTGAAGATTCCTGTATCACAACTATGAAAAGGCCTTAGCACAGTCATTTCTGGTACCAAGAGAATTACCCTGGCCATACGGAACATCAGGGCCTGCACCCTCAGCTTCAGGTTCCTGGCTTACAAGTGGTACCGGTTCATGTAAAACAGCGCACACGCTAACTTTGACAAACTTGAGATACCAAACTGTTCCTTTAGCGCTGAGGTTCTCAGGGTGTGGTAAGCAGACCAGAAGAATCACCAACACTTGGGAACATGTTAGAAATCCAAATTCGCAAGCCCCACCCCAGACCTGCTAAAACAGAAACTCCAGGGGTAGAACCCAGCAGTCTGGTTTTCTAAACCTTCTAGGTGATTCTGAGGTACATTCTTTTGGGAACCAAGCAGTTGAACATGGATAAGAAGAGCTTGTGTAGCTGTCTCTAGAGCAGTGATTCTGAAGCTCAGTGCGCATCAGAATCATCTGGAAGGCCTGCTAAAACCCAGAAGGGGTCTGAGAAGGTGCAGTTTTAACAAGCTCCCAGGGCATGCTGGTACTGCTGTCTGGGGACCACACTGTGACCCACAAGCTGCAGCTAAGTGTCCTTTTAGGGGCTGGAATGTAGCTTAGTGGTACAGTGTGTGCCTACCACGCATGAGGCCTGGGGTTGGATTTCCAGGACTGCAAATAAAGAAACAAACAACCATTTCTCTACTATATTCACAATACAAAACATTTCCAAGACCCCGAAATGTGTGGGGATTTCTCCCCACCAGCAAGCAAGCAATCAATTCTGTATTGAATGCTAAAATTAGATTTGGAATTAAATGTAGACATAATGAAGGTAAAGCAAACCTTTGAAGTCAATATTTTTATGCTAGAATCTGTGTATGTTTAATCTTTCTGATTAAGAGCATTTGACAAAGAATCTGACAGTTTAGCCTCCTGATTCCCATTTAGAATGCATAAAAGATTTGTAATTTTAAATGTAAAGTAACCAAATATTTTCGGTATTTATAAATAATTATAGACTCTGTTCAAGCATTGGATATTTATTTATTCATGGTCCTGGGGATTAAACCAGAGGCTTTTTTGCACTCAGCTATATTTCCAGCCTTTTTTCTATTTTCTATTTTTAGACAGGTCTTACTAAGTCCCTAAATTGCCCAGGCTGGGCTTGAACTTATGATCTTGCCTCAGTCTCCCAGAGTTCTATGAAGTATTCAAAAAGTGTTTCTGCCCATTGGAGTACTTGGAAAAAAATATTAAGTTTAAATATAGTTTTAATATGTAACTAAGCTCTTACCAGAATTTACACTTATTGGGTGTTGTGTTTGTATCTGAACTAAGTATTAAAGGTTGGATACTTTGAAAAGTGAAATTAAGTACTATTTTACTTTTTTTGGGTGGGGGGAGTGGAGATTGAACTCAAGGCCTTTGCACTGAGCTAGATCTACCTCTTTTATTTTGAGACAGGATCTCTTAGTCGCAAAATTGCCTGTTTGGGCTGGAACCCTGCCTCAGCCTCCTGGAGTGCTGGGATTACAGGCATCTGTCACAACACAGGACCTATTTTACATTTTTAAAGAGACTTACGTCTTTAAATAGTCCCTTTTGTGCATCTTTCCCCCAAAAGAGCCCCTTTAAAATAATAAACACACCCACCTAGACACAAATTAGAAAGACTGGCACTGTGAATTTCTTATTCTTCAAATCACTTTTTTCTGATAAAACTTAAACCCAACCCCAGTACATGATTAAGAAATACTCTAGTCCCTTTTTTTTTTTAATCTAAAGACTATTAAATAATTGTATTAAAAAAAAAACCTTCAGGCCTCTCCTAAAAAGAAAGTTTTCACCTACTTTATCTGGGACTGCATCCATTATCAGCTCGCCATACATATTAATGACCTACAAAAAATAAAATCAGTTTACTAATCTTATACAATTCAGGATGAATAACATTGATACTAGTAATAGTAATCAAACCTTCTGGATCCTACTATGAATGAGTCACTTCAGTAAAGAATAAAGAATCTTTAATTCCCAAAGATAAATGTGAGGTCAAATTTCTACGATACTGACCAATGTCCTCTGCACCTTTTATACACTGAAAACCTGCGATACACTGACCTGGTCATTCAGCCAGTTCTGACCATCCAGCGTGGCCAGATCATCCATATCCAGCATGTGCTTATTGTAGAAGATGCGGAAGTTGCATTTTTGATGTCTGGCCCGATAGTTTGTTATTTCCCTATTAATAAATGGTTTTCTGAAACAGATTTTGGAAGAAAATGGAACAAACATGAGTTCTACTCAATGTATTAAGTGCTTCTTTTTTTCCCCAAATTATTTTCATATGTTTAATTTTAGCACCACTGACATACCTATTAGAAAAGTCTTCATTAAAGACATCTTTTAATCTTGCAAGGACATCTTTTTCACTGAGTGGGACCAAACTGCCATACTTTTTCATAACTTCATCTAAGAATCCTTAAACAAAGGAAGAAAAATTAAGACAGAAAAACAAACTTTTCAGCAAAGTCGTTCTCCCAATACTTAACCTATGTGCAATGTTTAACAACTTACCCCTTTATCACAACATAGTAGACTCTTATATAAAGTAATTATTTAAAGTTTATCCCAGCTACTCAGGAGGCTGAGGTAGGAAGATTGCAAGTTCAAGGCCTGCCTGGGCACCTCAGTGAGCCCCTGTCTGAAAATAAAAAAAGGCTGGGGATGTAGCTCATTGGTACAGGACTTGAGAGGCCCTGGGTTTGATCCCTGGCACCAAGAAGAGGAAAAAGAGAACAAAAACTAAGATGGATTAAGTCCTCACCACTCTAGTGAGAGAGAAATACTACGAGGCACAACCTTACACTGAATTTTTAAATTACTGACCCATCATTAGAGACCTGGCTAAAACTAAAGACTGCCATGTTCCCACAGCGTAAGGGCCATTCCCTCCCTGCAAATGGCCATTTAATCTAAGTTGTGATTTCCCTAGTACTCAACTCATTTGCCAGAGAAGGCACATCTAAACTCGTATATTTTCATGTATGATTTGCTATACTTGTATAAGATTGAAAATTCTTTGTTTTTATTTATTAATTTTTATTTTTGGTGCTAGGTATTGAACCTAGGGCTTCAAACATGTAAAGCACACTCTACCATGTTATACCTCCAGCCCCAAGATTTTAATGCTTATGGAGTCTTGTTTTTTGACAAAGTCTCCCTCTGTTGCCCAAGACGGTCTCAAAGAGAGAATCAAGCAATCACTTGTTCTGCCTCAGCCACCAGAGTGGTGGAACAGGCCTATGAAAAGACGTTCAACATCACTGATAAGGAAAATGTGAGTTAAAACCAAATGTGAAATACCACCTCACACTTGTTAGAACAGCTTTCACCAAAAAGACAAATGTAAATTAGTATAGCCATTGTGGAAATGGTATAAAAGGCTCATGAAAAATTAAAAAAAGAACCAGGCATGGTGGTGCTCATCTGCGATGTCAGCCACCTGAGACACCAAGGTGAGAGGTTCACAAATTTGAGTTTAGCCTGGGAGACTTAAGACCCGGGGGGGCGGGGGGGAATATACCTGAAAAATGTATTTCTGTGAACACAGTTTCCATAACCAGAGCTAAAGTCTCAAAAGAAAAGATGACAATTTTTGTCAATTCAATTTCTGTCTTTTGTGGTACTGGAGATGCGCCCTGGGCAAGTTGCTTTACCCCGGAGCTACATCACTAGCCCTAGTTGGTTAGTTTGAGGTGTGCAGAATGAGTGCTGGGTCTCATGCATACCAGGCAAGCACTCTGCCACTGAGCTATACTCCAAGGCCCAAGCAGCCATATGTATACTGGCAGCAGTAGGGGCTGAAACCCAGGGCCTTCACACTCAACTTTTCCCAGCTCGTTATTTTTTGAGCTAGTCAATTAATTGCCCAGGCTGGGCTTGAACTTGTGATCTTTCCACTCAGCCTCCCAAAGTGCTAGGATTACAGGTGTGCATGACTATGTCTGGCTCTAAATTTTTTTTTCTGAATTATTTTTAAATGTCCTCCTGTTTCTTTTCACATCTTTACTAAAATATGATTAACATACCACCAACTCCACCCTCTTACACACTATGATTCAGTCATGGAACCACACTACAACCTAATTCCAGAACATATGCACTTCTCCAAAAAGTCCTATACCCATTAGCAGTCACTTACCATTTTCCTCTCTCCCCAGCTCCTAGAAATAATTAATCTACTGTATTTGCATCTTCTGGGGATTTGAAATATATGAAATTTTAGGTTACATGACTATTTGTGTCTAGCTTTTCACTTAGCATGTTTTCAAGATTTATCCACCCTGAAGCACATACAAGTATGTCACTTTTTTAAATGGCAGAATATTCTATTATATAGATAGACAAAATTTAACCATTTGTCACTTGAACATTTAGGCTGTTTCTACTTTTTCAGTATTAGGAATAATGCTGCTATGAACATTCACATATAAGTTTTTGTGTCTGCTCAGTGCCAGAACAAGTACTTAGCATTTGTGGGGCTAGGGGTGTAGTAGCTCAATGGTAGAACATTTGCCTACATGCAACAGACCCTGGGTTTCATCCCCAGCACTACCCCCATGCACAGGAAGTTTCTGTGCATTTGTTTCTATTCAAATTTTTAACCCACCTGGTGAGTACTGTGGCACAGGAACCTATTCCTTTTCTGTCTAAAACAGGCAGCTAACTCTTCTAGTCATTTCTCTTAATGCCTAGTATGCTGTGATTTTAATGCACAAAATTTAGTGAGAGTTTGGGTATGTATATGGTATAGGTTTTAATCCTGATTTACTCAGTCTTCCTAACTTGTTGTTTTCCTATTTTTCCCTTTTGCTGTGGGGATGAGAACCCAGGGCCTAGTGTGTGTTAAGCAATTGCTCTACTGCTAGGTTAAGCTAAGCTCTACCTTAGCATCAAGCCTTTCTAATCTGAAGAATCACACTTTTCTCTCTGGTTCTGGAAAATATCCTTTATTGTTTTCTTCAGTTTCCCTTCCAACATCTCTTAGCATACCCTTGAGACAGAGGTTAGAACTTTAGCTGTTCTTTGAAATGAATGAAGAACTTAACAATACTTGCAAAGTAAACTGAGTACAGAATCCTAGACTTTCATGTACTAACCTCAAATCTTTTATAATCATTTTGCAAAAGCATAACTCAATAGTGACTTTTTGTGGCAACTCATAAGAAACTTACAAAGCATTTAAAATGGTTTTTCAGGGAGTAACTTTTCTTTATACACATTTTATCAGTTCATGATGAAATGAATACTGAATAAAATTATAAAACTACAATAAATTTCCCATAAATACAACTTACTCAGAGAATATGTAAATCAGCTGAAAGGCACTAACACAATCAGATGACAGAAGGGTGGTAGTTGGCACACCATACAATGCAAGTCTGGCTACCGCTGTCCAACTCTGCTAAGGAAGCAGCGACAATGCCAACTCCTACACTGGTTCCTCCTCTGACTGCCTTATGAGTCCAGACTACTTAGGTTTAGTTCTCTTCTTTGCTGAGTGTGTGGGCCTCTTTCAGATCGTGAGTTTGTCTCTATCAGGTAGCCTGAGGAGGGTATGGGTTGTGACAGGCAGTAGCTGTTGCTCTGCCATCCACAACCTTCCGCAGGGTGGGGATGCTAAGAATCTTTTTTTTTTTTTTTTGGTACCAGGGATTGAACTTGGGTCCTTGCGTTTGTGCAGCAGGCAGCAAAACCACTGAGCTAAATCCCTGGCCCAGTACTAAGAATCTTTTAGAAACGAATATTCCTTGTTCTTGGTAGGTGTTCCCAGTAGGGGCAAATGGAGTATTCTTAGCATTTTAACTTGACAGCAGACACCCTCTTTGCCCAGATGAGATGCGCGAGGCAGGAGGAGCTTCCCCGGCTGTGCTGTCTTTCACTATGTGTCTCCTTTTCTTGCACTTCCACCCTCTCTGGGAAACAGGCACCTGCAGTGTTCTACCATTTATTTCCCTAGCAGCAATCCTCCTTCGGCTCTCTGGACCATCTCTCTACTTCTGCCTTATGTGAGCTTCTGAGTTTCTGATTCATCAAAACTCTCTCCTCACTGTTTGTGAGGATGGAGATACATGTGTGCTTTTAATGTATTTTTTGTAATTGCTATGAATTTGGTAGGAAGAACAGATTTCATGCAGCATACTTCTTCCTCGTGGACATGGAACATGGTTTCTGACAAATATTCTTTAGAAAGTGAAGGAGTGGGCCGGGGATTTAGCTCAGTGGTTTAGCCGCCTGCTGCGCAAGCGCAAGAACCAGAGTTCAATCCCCGGTACCAAAAAAAAAGAAAGAAAGTGAAGGAAATTTTCTCTAATCCTAGTTTTCTAGGAGATTTAAACTTGGAAGTTGAGTTGTACTAACAACCTTTTCAACCACTACATTTGCTAAGATGCCATGATTTCTCTACTTTAGTTAAAACAATGAATTACACTACAGATCACTAAATGCATATGAAGAATTCCTATTTCCTCAGATCATGCTATATAGTTGTACTACATGACAATTCATATTTAGAAGTGTTACATCTACATAACATGAGTATTTGTGGGCAAATGTCAATTCTTTCAGGTTTAAGTATTATGGTTCTGTTAACTTAAGAAATTCATCTTTATTTTAGGACAATATAAACAACAGAAATTGTTGTAAAGATTTGCTAGCATTCTCCTTGGTGTGCTTTGTGGGGAACTTTTTTTTTTTTTTGGTACCAGGGATCAAACTCTGGACCTTACGCTTGCGAGGTAGGCAGCAGAACCACTGAGCTACATCCCCAGCTTGTGGCGAACTTTTTACACATATTTAATTGTTGGAAAAGAATAGTTTAAGCTATAGAGAAGTAAGTCTAACTCTTCAAAAGAAGCCAATTACTACAATGTATTATATCTATTCAGATACATCCTATACAAATGCACATGTATATGTACACATTCATCCTATGTATCTGTGTGAATATCTTTTTAAAAATTTTATCACACCACCAGTCATGCTGGTACATGCTTGTAATTCCAACACTCTGGGAGGCTGAGGTAGGAGGAGGTTTGAGCCAAACCTGGGCAACTTGAGTACTCAGTGAGACCCTGTCTCAAAATAAAAAATAAAAAGGCCTGGGGGTGTAGCTTAGTGCGAACACCCTAGGTTCAATCCCTAGCACCAAACACAAACAAAAAAGTATTCATAACATTTTGCAACTTGCTATTTAAATTTCATACAGACATCATTCAGTATAAAAATATAAACATTATTTATTTTGCAGTGCTGGGGATGGAATGAGGGCCTCACACACGCTAGGAACTCGGTCTACCAGCATACCACAGCCCTGAATCTTTTTTCCCCCAGTACCAGGAATCAAACTCAGGACCCTGTGCTTGCCAGGCAGTTGCAGAGCCACTGAGCTACACTCCTGGCCCCTGAATCTTAACTCTTAAAGCTCTGCATATACCCCATTTCCTGAATGTGCCATAATTTAGGCTTCAACAGATACTCTTGTTTTCAAGGTTTGTTTTTTTTTTAACCACAATAATGCAAGTGACACACTTATACAAATATATTTGTACTCTTTTACAACTAGGATAAATTTCAAGCAGGAAAATGGCTCAAAGCCTAATACTGCCAATTGTCTTCCCAAACTATTTATACCAATTCACTTCTTAGGGTAGAGTTTGATAAAAGACTTTTATTTTGAGACAGGGTCAGGCTGGTCTCCTTGTGAGTCTCCTGCTTTAGCCTCCCAAATGCTGGGATTACAGGTATGCACCACCACACTACCAGACCCACCATAAAGCATCTTTTTTGTTTTGTCTTACTAGGGAATGAATCCAGGGCCTTTGCACTGAGCTACATTCCTGGTCAATTTTTAATTTTGAGACAAGGTCTCACTAAGTAATTAAATTGCCCAGGGTGAGCTCCAACATGTGATCCTCCTTCCTCAGCCTCCCAGAGTGCTGGAATTACAGGCTTCTGCCACTTGGTCTGGCTAAGAGAAGGCCTTTTAACCATGATGTAAAAAAACAGAAGCCAGCTCGGGGTTGGTAATCCTAGCACTCTGAGAGGCTAAGGCAGGAGGATCACAAGTTGGAGCCCAACCCTGGGCAATTTAATTACTTAGAGACCCTGTCTCAAAAGGGCTGGGATGTGTAGTTCAGTGTGAAGGCACTGGATTCAATACCAAGTACTAGAAAAAAAAAATTCTTTGTATACCATTAATTTATAAAAGAAACTGGAAATCAATTTAAGTGTCCATCCAATCAAGGATTAAAGAATTAATGGAACAACTATAAAACAGTGATATAAAAGTCATCAAGAACAACATTCAAAAATGTAAAGAGAAAGCCACAAGTGGGAGAAGAAAGAGGACTCTTGTAGGAAGGAGAAGGGCAGCAGGTGCAGGTCAGCTGATGGGGGACAAAGGACAGTGCCTACCAGAAAGGCAGATGGACAGCTGCTCATCATCCACGGGCACCACCTTCTGACTGTTCTTGCCACCTCGCAAGGGACTCTCTAGCTTGGGCTCACTGCACTCCCGAGGCGCTTCAAGTGGACTCTTACAGTACGGGTGGTCCAGCAGCTTGGAGCTGAGGATGTTCTGCTTGAGCGCCCCCTCCTCCTCCATCTCGCAGTTCTCAGGCTCCACAGTCTGACGGGCAACAGGCCCATCCATGCCACTCCCGGCTTCCTTGGCTCCAGGCGCAGGCAGCTCTACCTTGCCATCACCCACGGCACCTGTGCCATTCTTCCGACTCAGAGGCATAGCATCTGTCTCAGTTTCTGAGGGGAACATGTTACTTTGATGTTCTGACAAGGGGCACTCAGCAGTCAGCTCTGCGCACTCCCACTGAGGGGAACAAGGTGTCTGGTCCCAGGCGTCGGTGGCACCGCCATTCTGCTGGTCAGGGAATGTGCCATCTACACGAGGCCCCTTGCCCACACGAAGGCTCCCTTTAGCACAGCCATCGGGCATGGGAGAGTTCTTTCCCTTTGCCAGCACATCACTGTCCATATCTGGAATGAGCGGCTGACGCCGGGAAGAGGAATCTCTAGGTGCTGGGGAAGGGAATGGGTTGCAACTGCCGCCTTCCACGTTATCCCTAAGGGTCTCTTGATGGTCTCCAGTGACTTTCTGTACCCAGCTTCGCTGGGCTTTTCTTAGCTTACAGATTTTGCTTTTTGTTCTGAAGTGCTGGGATCTGAGAATCCTATACTGAAATCTTATCATGGATAACTTCTCATACATCATAAGAGGAGACACTTTTATTCTTCGATGTTGGTTAAGTTGGACTTTTCTTGGAATCAGGAGTCCTCCATTCCTGCGGCACTCTAGCCCTTGGTAGCAACCATAACAAAAGCGTTTTCTTTTATGGTTGCTCAAAGTGACCACAATCTTGCCACTCTCTCCTGGACTCTGGCTCTCCCCACTGAACGTCATGGGAAAGTCATGAGGTGCTCTCCTCAGTCTGCGACCGCTGGCCTGACCTAAAACACTATTTGCTGGCAAGCCAGCAACTGCCTTCAAGAGAGTCTTCTCTCCACAGGACTCATGGTCTGAGTTCTTCGTCGAGGACAGTGACTTCTCTGTATGGAGTCTCAGGAGGCCCCTTGAGGAAGAAATGAAGTGCTGAGTGTTGTTTCTTTCCACTTTAGAGGACACAGAGCTAGCATTTGGAGTTGCCACACTGGACTTAGTCTTAGCACACAGGCCTTCATCTTGGATCCATGTTTTCTGGATTGCAAGAGCCTTTTTTCTACACTGGAAATACCCCAACTGTCTGTTCCAAGTAACTAGCCTTCCTAACTTAGCTTTCAGAATGCCCAAGTGTTGGTGAAAATAGAATTTCTTAAAGCCTACAAACCCTGTATTCCATTTCTCAGAAAAGGCGAAGTGAATTCCTTTCCTCCGTAGACTTTTCCTCTGTTTTTTCATTTTTCTGATGCATAATGAGATCTGGATGTAGCTACAAAGAAAACAAGGAAAAGTTACATATCAATCTAAACATAAAGTTATGAAAACATTCACAGCAATTGAGGTAGAAAACTGATAACAAGCACATACACTTCAGTATAGGCTATGGGACATGATCAAACCTTACCTGTTCAAGGTTTTCATCAAAATGAAAATTAGGGAAGAGGGAAGAATGGGCACTCTAACAAGACCCTACCTGGTGTACAACTGTCTTGGATAGAAAAAAGTTAAATAAAAAAACCTGGATTGTCGTGGTGGTGCACACCTGTGATCCCAGCATTTGGGAGGATGACAGGAGGATAGCCACAAGTTCAAGGCCAGCCTGGGCTACATACAGTAGTGAGCTCAAGGCCAGCCTAAATTACACAGCCAGGCCTTGTCTCAAAAAGCAAAAAGTGCCAGGGATTTAGCTCAGTGGTTTCACCACCTGCTGCACAAGCACAAGGACCCAAGTTCGATCCCGGTACCAAAAAAAAAGCAAAAAGGGGGTGCTGGTAATATAGCCCAGTTTGAGGCCCAGGGTTCAATCTCCAGTACAGGGAAAAAAATAAGTTTCAAGAATCATTTCCTAGTATGTAATCAATTTCTTTTCTTCCCCTCACCCCTTTTTGAAGTACTTGAAGTTGAACCCAGGCCCGTGTGTGTGCCAGGTAAGCATTCTAACCCTGAACTACATCTCCAACCCTTTTTACTTGATTTTGACACACAGTTTTGCTAAGCCAGGCTGGCTTCAAACTTGCAATCCTTCCGCCTCAGCCTCCCAAGGAGCTGGAATGCAGCCATGCACTACCATGCTCAGCTGTGGTCAGTTTCTGGTGGAGGACACAGGGTGGGGAGTTAGAGAGGCGCTCTAAGTGTGGCTTTATTTCACATTAGCTATGTAACTCGGAGCCAGCTGCGCTCAGTTCTCATAAGGGACAGGGGACTGATTCCATATTTATTTACTTATAACTTGCTCCCCAGCAAAACTTTTTCACAGAGCGGATTTTTTTTTAAGCACAACGCAAGCACCTTAGCTCTGTGAAGGCATGCATGGATGGGTAGGTAACTTGTGGCACAGGTGCCTCCTCCTTGGCCAGCCAGCCAGTGCCTCTCCAGCAGGCGCTCTCACCTAGTCATCCTGGCTCTTGGGTGAATGTAAGGAACATGAACCCACACAGCACAACCTTCTGGAACAGTGACAGATGGGGATAAAAGATAAAGCCAAAAATGATTTCTCTTCAGAATTTAATAGGACTTAATGCAAGGAGTGATGGGAAAATATGTAAAATGTTTACATTTAAGGATTCTGTTCTTTGTTTTTTTTGAAACAGGGTCTCACTTTGTAGTTCAGGCTGGCTCTAAACTCACTATGTAGCCCAGGCTGGCCTTGAACTCATGGCGATCCTCCTGCCTCAGCCTCCCAAGGGCTGGGATTATAGGTGTGCATCACCATGTCCAGCTGGTTTGGTTTTGTGGGTGATGCTGGGGATTGAACCCAAGGCCTTGTGCATAGTAGGCAAGTGCTCTACCACTGAGCTACACCACCGCCCTGAATGTGTAAATTTTATAAAAAAAGAACTTATTATAGTAAAAAAATACCCCAAGAATAATGGAGTAAGTGTGTTCAAAGTAAGGGAGAGTATTTCAAAGGGGAGCTGAAATCTAAGCCAGTCATTCAGGAGACCAAGAAGCAGGCTGTAAGAACTCCTGCAGCAACAGATACCTAAGAGGGTGAGAGTGTGGTCAGAGCTGGAAGGAGGGACTGGCTGAAAAAGTCTGAATAAATCAGGTACAGTGGCCCACACCTGTAATTCCAGCACTCTGGAGGATCACAAGTTTGGCCCTGGGCAACTGAGCAAGTTCCTGTCTCAAAATAAAAAAATAAAAAGGGCTGGAAATGTAGCTCTGTGTAAATGTTCTGATTTCAGTCCTCAGTACCTCATTAAAAAAAAAAAACAAACAGCGCCAGGGATTTAGCTCAGTGGCACCCCGCCTGCCTTGCAAGCACAACGTCCTTAGTTTGATCCCCAGTACAGAGAAAAACAAACAAACAAACAAACTCTGAATAAGCACCAGCTGGACTCCCCAAGTCCCTTCTCCTACCTTGGCAAATAAGCAAAACTTCACTTCCTGGAGCAAATCCACCAGGATGGCCAGGCACACTGTATAGCTGCGAGCAGGGGTGAGCTACAGCATGAATTTCCAGTGACCTTCTCACTCAGCTTCCACACGACTTGTCCCTGTGTGTACACCTGGGTGGGTGGGTGGAGTTAAAGAGAAAAGACAGTGACACCTGCCAGGCCTCAAGGATCACTCTGCAGTGTATCCTAAAGCCTAAGAAACAATGACACCCCTCACCCTCAACACCACTGTTCCTCCCTTCCTCAAGGCGAACTTTGGCAGGCAGAAAGGATAAAGCAGGTCTGCAGACGGATCCAGGCACGGCTGAAGATGGAATTACATGGTGTTTTTGAGGCTAACGACACCTTCTCCCACTCTTCTCCCACCATCTGCCTTATCCAACTAACAGAAGGCTAGAAGACTTTTCTGTAGAATTAGTCCACCAGAAAAATCCATAAAGATAAATAATCCCCACAAAATGGCCCAACAAGGCCCATCCCACTGAGCACCCTAAAGCTGGCACCCCATCATGTTTAAAATTCTAAAGCAGCTTTTTTGTGATCATTTGCTTCATTCATTTTGATTTTTTTGGTGCCGGGGACCGAACCCAGGGCCTCATTCATGCTAAACCCAGGCTCTGCTACTGAGCTACACCCATGGCTCTTTAAGCCATAGTCATTCTTAAAAATGAACCACCAAGAATCGCCAGACTCTCTGAAACAAACAGATGAAAGCAAAAACTATATATAAATCAGTCAAAACTTATAAACTATCAGGGAGGGAGACACAGAGGAGTTACTGCTTCATGGGTAGAGAATTTCAGTTTGTGAAGATGAAAAGGTTCTGCAGACAGTTGGTGAAGATGGCTGAACAATGTGAACATACCTAATGCCAATGAACTGTATACCTAAAATGGTTAAAATGGTAAATTATATGTTATCACAATAAGAAAAGCAGAAGTTAGGGCACACAAGGCCCTGAGTTTGAGCTCCAGCACTGCTAGCAGGGGGACAAATGCACCATCCTCAAAGAAATGAAAGAGGACTTGGGGCGGGGGGCGGGCTCAGTGGTAGACCACTTGCCTGGCATGCACCAGGCCCTATGTTTGATTCCCTGGCACTGCAAATAAATTCATTCAATCATTCAGTCATGTACCTTACTCAGTACATGACGTGGCTCATCCCTGAGACACAGTTTAATCCCAAAAAGTTCAGCAACACAAACATGACTACTTACTTGTTGGCTTTCTCACTGCTGGCTAAGGATTCAGCCTTCTCAAGTCTGCTAATCAGTTACCATTAGTCTTTCCTTCTTTCTAGCTTCCAGAATTTGGTTGTTACCTGCTTTGGTCTTATTATCATTTTGAGGCTTTTGGAAAAATCTCCTCTACTTATTTAAAGACAGGGTCTCACTGCATAGTTTAGGCTATCCTAGAACTCCTCGTGATCTTCCTGCCTCAGCCTCCCAAGTGCTGGGATTCCAGATGTGCACCACCACACTGGGCTTCCTCTACTGTTTTAATGGAGTCTTGAGGCTAGTGTAGAATTACATGTACATGTTCAATACACCCTTAAATAATGCTAAATTTTTAAAAAGTCAAGTAATATGTCCAAGCCCATTTTGTTAGTGTAGAGCCACAGGTACCCAAACTGCCCAAGGCAACCTATGGATTTGCAACAAAACGACAAGGTGTTATGGTTTATATCTAGATGTCCCCCCAAAGCCTCATGCACTAACAGGTGGGGCTTTTGAGAGGTGACTGGACATGGCAGCATGATATTCATCAGTGGATTAGTTCACTGATGAGTTTATAGCTAAATGTGATGTTGGGAGGTGGGTCTAGTCAGAGGGGAGTCACTGAGGGCCTGACCAGGAAGGGCTCAGCTCTTCCCCTCCTCCTTTCTTAATGCTTTCTGCTTCCCATCTGCCACACTGCCCTGCCTTGCAGCCAGCTGATTATGGACTAGAACAGTGATGGAGAACTTTTTAGAGATCAAGGACCCAAGATGCAACTCAAAACCCACTTATTTATCACAGTGTCAACACTGCAATTAAACCTGAATACTGTACTGAGGTTTTAATTTAGAAAAAAACAACTCATACATTAATATCTTTTGTCTTAAAAGAAAAACACAGTAAGAGCTTTCACTGATACAAATGGCTTTTTATTGAAAAACAAAAATTTGCATTTGGCATGCTTTTTGCACAATTAACATGATCTTTGCTGTTATATGCACGCTTGGCTGGGGTGACGGCTCATGAGCCAACAGAGAAGGCACTGTATGCCTGCTGCAGCACACTACCATAGGTTCACCACTACTGGACTAGAAGCTCTACAAACTGAGTCAATTGTGGGTATTGGGTATTGTGTCTCAGCAACAAAAAAGAAACTAAGACACAGGGGCATCACAGGGTATTCTAAATTAGAGGAAAAATGCATGATAAATAAATAAGGAGGAAAGTGATATTCTACATCTGTCAAAACACCTGGTAGAGCTGGGCACAGTAGCACAGCCCTGTAATCCCAGCACTGTGGGAGGCTGAAGCAGGAGGATCACAAGTTTGAGCCCAGCGTGGGCAACTCAGTAGGACTCTGTCTTAAAAAATAAATAAATAAAGGGCTGGAAATGTAGCCCAGTGTGAAGGACCTAAATTCAATCCCTAATTTAAAAAAAAGCCAGCTAGAGGCTAAGTATGGTGCCCCATACCTACTAATCCCAGCACTCTGGGAAGCTAAGGGAAGAGGATCATAAATTCAAGCCCAGCCTGGGCAACTTAGTGATTTAACAAGACCATCTTAAGTTTTAAAATATGGGCTAGGGATGTAGCTCACTCAGTATAAAAGCCCCAGGTTCAATCCCCAGTGAGAGAGGAAAAGGAAGGAAGGGAGGAAGGGAGGAATGGAGAGAGGTGGGAGAAAGAGGAAAAGACAGAGACAGAGACACAGAAACACAGACAGCCAGGCAGTTGAGCATTGTGATGCATGCCTGTACAGTAAGTCCTTGACCTACAAACATTCGAGTTGTGAAGTTTCACAAGTGTACTGTATAAGACTCATTTTGTCAGCTTACAAATGAATCCAACTTACAAACAATTCTCCCAGAACAGTACTTGGAACTCACTGGTAACTCGAGGATTTACTGCAAGACTCTAAAACAATTAAACAAATAGGCACGCAGAAAGAGAGAGGAAAAAAATGAAATAGTACTGAGATGTGGCCCAGTGGAGCGCCTGCATAGCATACATGAGGCCTGCATTTATGCATCAGATTTGAAAAGGAAAAATGGTAAACAAATCAAACACATTTTTGGTGGTATGTATCACCAATGATACTGAAATTGTAGAAAGATACATCTGTTAAATTTCCCATTCAAAAATATTGTAATGTAGGAGAATCATTTGCCAACCAGTATAAACAAATGTGATACACACAAAAAAGGTAAAATTCAGGGTCACAGAAATAACTTGCAAAAGGGTCAGAACAATCACTTCACAGATAATCATTTTTCAACTGAGACCAAGAATAAGAAAGTCAAAAGGTTGGGCATGGTAGTGTACTCCTATAATCCTTGCACTCTGGGAGGCTAAACTAGAAGGATCAAAAGTTCAAGCCCAGCCTGAGCAATTAAGCAAAACTCTTGTCTCAAAACAAAATTAAAAAGGGCTGGAGATGAAGTTCAGCAGCCCATGGTTCAATCCACAGCACACCAAAAAGGGCGGGGCAGGGGGGCGAAACCACTGAGCTAAATCTCTGGCCCCTGATTTGTATTCTTGAAAAAGTCACTCCACCTGTAGAGTGGAGAATCGGGAGAAGATGGCGGGGAAAGGAAACGTTAGGAAGTTGTTACACTGTAACAGCAGGGGCAACTTAGTGTCTGAGAAAGTCAAAAAAAAAAGGGCTAGAGATGTAGCTCAGCAGCAAGGTCCCCCTTTGACCTTAGCCCAGCCTACCCCCTCTGAGGGGTGGAAGGGGAGGGAAGAACCACACACTGGGAGGATACAGCAGATTAAGTCAATATTGAGAATCTCAGTACCCAGAAATGTCTATAGGAAAAAGCCTATAAAAGTGGCATGATTTATATGGAATACAAATGGAGAAAGATTGGGGGAAATGTTATACTGTTGGACAGATAGAGTGGCTCTAGTTAACAGATGGTTATAAGGCCATCAGAGAAGCATAAAGCCCAGTTCTCAAACTGAGCTCCACAGGATTCTGGCTAATAATTAAAAGTGGTCACACATACCAGAATGGAGGAAGGAAGGGGGAAATAGCATGTCTATACATCCCTCGGTTTACAATAAGCCAGAACAGCAAATATTCTTAAACCTGAATTTTGCAGTTTTTGAATAATCCTTATGCAATTCTGCCAACCAACACTTAAACATTTCAATGTAATGTGTACTACTACTTCCACCAAGAAGTCAACTCTTGGACTGGGGATGTAGCTCAGTGGTGCCATGTTTGCCTAGCAAGCCCAAGGTCCTGAGTTTGATTCCCGATATTAGGGCTGGGGATTTAGCTCAGTGGTTTTGTGGCCTGCTGCGCAAGCACAAGGACCCGAGTTTGATCCCTGGTACCAAAAAAAAAACAAAATTGATTCCCAGTACTGAGGGAAAAAAATAAAGTCAACTCTTCTAAGTGTTAAGGAGTCCAACTGCTTAAGAAACTACAAAAGCAGAATTACATAGAGCTACTACCTAAAAGATCACCTCCCACACACACTTTTGGGCTCAAAGGACTATAAAACTTGAAATAGAAGCTTTGATTCAAGTAGACAAGTAAGGGAAAGAAAAGAGAAAGAGGAAAAATATAAAGAAAAATATCTTCATGAACCTATTAAATTAAATGTGAAATCTCATCTACAACTGTTTGCAAGCCATAAGCATCACCTGGGAAGCTTGTTTCGTTTTTGAACCCAGGGCCTCATGAATGATACAAAAGCTCTCTAACAACGTACTACACCCTGAGCCCTTGAGAAACTTTTTTAAAAAAATACAAATACCCAGGTCCCACCTTAGAACTACTGAGGAAGGGTCCAGGCATTTGGAGTTCTGCTTTTTGTGGTTGCTGTTGTTTTGGTTTTTTTGAGACAGGTTCTCACTATGTAATTTAGGCTGGTCTTAAACTCACTAGAGGCTCAGACTGGCCTCGAACTTGCAGTGATTCTCCTGCCTCAGCTTCCTGAGTGCTGTGATTGCATATGTGTACCACCACATCCGGCATGGGTTCTGTTTTTTTGACTCCGGATTCCCTACATTGCCCAGGCTAACCTCAAGCACCACTCCTCAGCCTCCTGAGTAGCTAGGCCTGTAGTCACTGCGCCTAGCTGTTTTATTTTGATTACCCAATTGATTCTAATGGCAGCTGGGTTTTGGGAAAATTGGATTTGATGACCCTGAAGGTGATATACATATATCTTTAAATTCCAAATGGACAATTCTGTGTCAAAGGCACTGAAAACTGCACTGATCTACACACTGCACTGCAGCCAGCATCACGCCCCACAGAGGCAGAATGCATCCTTCATCAGCCTGTAAGGGCAGATTCTATTTAAGTCACTGACTGCATCTCCCTCGCTCCTCCCCTAACACGTCTTTACCTTGGGGTCAATTACACTGCAGAGCGGTGAATATTCTCTCTCCACTACAGAGAAAAGTAACTCCTCAAATTAGAACTGTAACATCCAGTCAAAGAATTCCAGCTCCTGCATTTTCTCTCACATATTTTTTTCTTTATCTCGCTACCTTGAGTAAAAAGCAAAACTGATTTAAATCATCCTTCATTGATAATATTTTATCAATAAACAAGAGACACCTGGGAGACTAGGTGCATGAAAGAATGAAGGGCAGTCTCTCCCTCCTGCCTCAGACACCCAAGTGCTGGGATAACAGGTGTGCACCTTGCCCAGCTTCTCTGTGTATTTTCAATGAACATGAAATATTTTAGAAGCAGAGTGAGAGGTCTCAAAAATAAGCGGAGGATTCCTTCCAAAGTAGGCCAAGGTGTAAATGAAACCCCACCCGGCTTTTCTCCTAAGAATGACTTTCTGGGCAAAAGCTATTCTGAGTCAAGAGTGGAGATTTAAATCATCCCTCACTGATCATATTTTATCAATAAGCATGAAACATCTGACTGACTAGGAGAGTCTAGTTTCTTCCTAAGGGTGCCCATCCAAAGCACAGACTGCAGGTGGGTCTGACCAGTTAAGATCCTGGCGGGGCACCCTTCTCCACACAGAGCCGAGTTAGCTATTCTGGAGAAAAGGCAAAAACCATAATTAGGAACTTGGCATCAAATATCCTGAGTATCTTTAAACGTAGCTTAACTAGAGGCCCAAATCATTTCATTAAATTCTGCCAACTAATTTATGTAGGTATAAGAAATACTTTACATGCAGTGAATTAAAAACACTACCAAACGGTAGACTATGATTTCCACTCATCCTCTCCGCACTCCTTGTGCCCCAACAGAGTACCGTACGGAAGAACGGGAATGGATACTACGTAGCGAAAACAAGAGGAAAAAGCGGCTTCCCAGCACAGCCAATGTCCAGGTGAGACATTCCTGTCCCCTAGAAAGGGTCCCATGAGTGTGAGGGAAGAAACCGAGGCAGAATCGCACGATCACGTAAAGGCCCTCGACTTGCAAGGCGGCAGGCGCCGAGGCCTTTAACCGCGCTGTCCCTCGAGAAGCTGTCCCCGGCTTCAGAAGCAGCGACCGCGGGCGCCAGCCTTCTCGAGCCTGCGTCGCAGAGCTCCGGGTGGAGAGAAAAAAGGGAGGGCAGCAGTCCCTCGGGACGAGCGCCTCCTGAGTCCCCACCAGCCACTCCGCGCCCGGGAGAGATGCTGCCACCGGTGGCTCCGGGCGCGGGGGAGGCAGCGCCCGAGGCGGCCAGACCCGGCCGCTGAGCTGGCGCACCGCGAATGGCCAGGCCCCGGTCCGACAGTCATTTGCCGCGGGGCCACCCGAACTCTCGCTTACCTGAGTCCCTCGCTCGTGGCACCCACTCCGCCGCTGACCTAGGCGCCGCGAGAGCCGGGACTGCGGCCCCGCCGCCGCCACCGCGGGGGTAAGAGCCCGCAGCTAGGAGAAGTCCGGCCTGCTCGCGGCAACCACGGCAGCACACTGCCTCCAGCGCCGCCGAGCCGACCTGTGGGCGCTCACTTACTGCGTCACCGACCCCTGCACTTCCGCCTCTTGGGGGTGTGGCGCCGTCCGGGTTCCTCTTCCGCCCGGCACCGCCCGGGCTCGGCATCGCTGTTCCTCTTGAGGTCTGTGCTGCACGTTTTCTGGATAAATCCGTGCAGTGCCTTCTCATGTTTCTGCTCCGAAGAGCCGTGTCGCACCACAGCTGCCTCACCCTCTACTGATCACTGTCTTTTTGCCATAACCAAAAAAAATCACTCTTCTGTTCTGGACTGCGTTTTTTGAGGCCTGGCTCAAGCTTTTTTATCTCTTGATTTCCTTGTTGATCTTAATTAACCCTTTCGTATTGTAATTTCCCTTTGGTGTTGTTTTGGCACTGAGAGTTGAACCTAGGGCATTGGCACTGAGCTACATCCCCAGCCTTTTTTGTTTTTGTTTGGTTTTTTTTTTTTTTTTTGGTACCGGGGATCGAACTCGGGTCCTTCTGCTTGTGAGGCAGGCGGTGGAACCACTGAGCTAAATTCCCGGCCCACCTTTGGTTGTTTTTTGAGACAGTGTTGCTGTGTAATTCAGGCTGGCCTCGAACTCGCAGTGATATTCCTGCCGCAGCCTCCCGTGTGCTGGAATTGGTTACAGGCCCTTTTCTTACCTGGGGACAGGATCTCACTAAGTTGCCCAGTCTGGGCTCCAAACTTGAATCCTCCTGCCTCTTCCTCCCAAAGTGCTGGGATGATATATGGGCCACCACTCCCAGCTGTAATTTGCATCTGTCCTTTCACCAAGCTGCCCAACATTTTCCAAGGTGGGCAGAGCCTGGTTTTAACCACGGTTGTCCCAGCTCTGAACAATTACTAATTTACAAGGGCCTTAGGAAGTCTGTAGTAAATCTTCAATTCTCTTTCTGATAAAGAAAAGTAACTTCAGCTTTTTATGTTGAAGCACTAGTCATTTAATAACATTTTAAAAATCTGAACATGCAAAACCTCCGAGTATTTGGAGAAAAAGACATAATCCAGTGTCCCAACAGGAAAAATATATAACTTTATGATGGAAGATGAAGTTGGTTTTAGACATTATTTGGTTTCGAGCAATGAAGTGGAGACTGACACAATGGATTACTAAAGATCAATTGCTGAGATCTTTGTGCCTCGAGCATAGGCAATAAAGGTGTGTACTGACTGTAGAGAAGCTAAAAACAGGCTGGGGATGTTTCTCAGTGGGAGTGAGGTAGTATACAAGAAATAAAGATATGTTGGGTACGGTAGTGAACACCTGTAATCCCAGCACTCAGGAGGCTGAGTTAAGGATCACTGTGAGTTCAAAGCCTGCCTGGGTTCCATAGTGCGTTCAAGGCCAACCTTGAACATATACACACCAAAAAAGAGAGAAAAAGGAAGGAGGCAAGGAAACTTTATATATCTTTACTCTGTGTATCTTTACTCCTTAGGCCTCTTTGTGCTCCCTAGCCTTTTTCCTTCCAGGCCCATCACACCAGGTCCCTGGATACTACCATAACCTTAGAATGAAGAAACAGCCAGATTCGGGGGCATAGACCTGTAATCCTAGTGCTCTGGGAAGCAAAGGCCTTAGCAATTCAGTGAGACTTTATCTCTAAATAAGGTGTGGGGGGGGCCTGCAGATGTAGCTCAATGCAAGACCCTGGGTTCAATCTCCAGTACCCCTCCCCTCAAAAAAGGATAAAAAGATTCAAGGGGATCAAATAACTATTTTTTTTCTTTCTTTGAGACAGGGTCTCGCTATGTAGTTCAGGGTGGCCTTGAACTCACTGTGTAGCCCAGCCAGGCCTTGAACTTGAAGCAGTTATCCTACCTCAGCTTCTCAAGTGCTGGGGGGAAAAAAAATTCATCAACTACCATCTGGGGCCAGGGATTTAGCTCAGTGGGTCCACTGCCTGCCTCAAAAGTGCAAGGACCCGAGTTTGATCCCTGGTACAAAAACAAAAATCCATCAAGTGCTGGGATTACAGGTAAGTGCTGCAGGCCCCTCTCAAAGGCAGATCTTGAACCTCTGGATCTGTCTTCTTGGCGTGGCCATACTAGTTAAAGCTTTTCCTCCTTTAGAGATTCCCAACCCCAGACAATAATGCGTGACACTGTCTCAACCACCACACTCTTATTTTCTGAGCATGTACTTCTTTGACTCCGCCTAAATAAATCTGCCTATGCCTCTTACAGATGCCCTGAAATGCTTTTCTGTGAATTGAAAAATCTACTCTGTAAGGGGGAGTTTAGGTCCTTTTCCTCTGGGGAACCTGCTCGAACCCCATCAGGTGACAGGAGGGCACCCATTAGCATGCAGCATGAGTTTATCCTAGCACTCAAAAAAAAGGGGGTTTGAGGGTGCAGCTCACTGGGAAAGCGCTTGCCTGCCCCGGGTTTGATTCTCAACACCACAAAACAAAACAGCCACTAACAGCTACAAACTGGTTTGCTTTTAATTAGCACTATGTGTCAGTAAATTCTAAACAGTGTCAGCAATATGGTTCTTTCCAAACTAAAACTTTCCATAGTCTTATTTCTAAACAATTAAAATAATTTTAAATTGGCATATTCCCTCAGTGTAAAAGTAAATCTTTTGAGATTCCACTCCCAGCCAACATGGAATAACAGAGATCACATTCACCCTTCTGTTACAAGTTTTAGGGCAAAAGCCCTGGTTCCAGGGCCCTCAAAATGCCACTGGAGACCAGCAGTGAAGGGCAGGAAGGGGCTTTAATTAGTATGGCCTCGGGCAAGGGATTTAGCTCAGTGGTTCCAATACCTGCCTTGCAAGTGCAAGGATCCAAGTTCGATCCCTGGTACCAAAAAAAAAAAAAAATTAGTATGGCCTCGCCAGGAAGACAGATGCAGAGGTTCAAAATCTGTCTTCTAGCAAGGCATGCAGGCACATCCCTGTAATCCCAGCAGTCTGGGAGGCTGAAGCAGGAGAGTGTCGAGTTGGAGCTCAGCCTGGGCAATTTAGTAAGACCCTGTCTCAAAATAAAAAAAGGGATGTAGCTTAATGTGTAGGCCCTGGGCTCAATCCCCATTCTCCATCCCCTATAATCTGTCTTCCAGGGGCTATAAGCAGGTTGGGGTTTCACAAAAAAGTGGAGACGACAAAAAAAAAAAAAGCAGGGGTTGGCTAGGTAATCCTGGTCAAGCATCTTGGCTGGTGTCTCAGAGCCGGCACCTGAGGGCAACTCAGTTCCTAGGAGGCTCTGGCTTAGACTGGCAGCTTCACTTCCCGCTGGAGATTGGTGACCTCATCATGGGGCGTTCTGCGAGGCTGCAGTTTCCTGGAATATGAGGTGACTACAGGTTTAAAACCGTGACTGGAGACTTTGAGGCATTGCTCCAGGAGGTCTGGAATGTTGTAAATAAAAGCTGGCAATTGGATGTCCCTGAAAATTCTGAAATGTAATTTAGCTACTCTTTTCTTGGTGTCCTCAGTCTTGAGAGGGAGGAGAGAGGGTAAGTGAATTTAGGGTTAAGAAACCTTATATTACCAGTTTTTAGATGGATACCCCATAAGTGTTTAACATGCCTTCATGCAGAGCTGAGCGGGGCTCTGACCAGAAGTTCTAAGGCCATAAAGGTGACAGATAAAGTGAAAGCTGGGATGTCCAGCTTTGTCTGCTTTTAGTGACCCACTGGGTGTCTGTAGGCCACACCTCTAAGTCCCTGTTAACACTGGAAGCTGAAACAACTCAAAAGCAGACAGAATACAGGATACAGCTTCCCTCCACTGGTACTGGGGTTGAACACAGAGCTTTCACACTGAGCTACATTCCAGCCCTTTTTGAGACAAGATTTCACTAAGTGGCTCAGGCTGAGCTTGAACTTGCCATCTTCCTGCCTCAGCCTCCCAGAGTGATAGGATCGCAGGTGTGCATCACTACACTGAGCTCTCTTTCAGAATCTTTCCCCTCAATTTCTCACTGCTTTGCAGCTCTGGACGCCAATGTTGTCCACAGCCAGGGCCTAGGGCGTTGAGAAAGCAGCAAACCGGCAGGGCTTACTGCTCTGGGAATAGTGTTTCAAGAATTAGCTCTTATCTAGTTTCTGCCTACTTTGGGTCATTTTTCAGTGTATTCAAATAGTTATTTTTAGTAATTTTGTCCTTTTTTAAATGTCGTTTTTTTTTGGTACCAGGGATCAAACTCAGGACCTTGCTCTTGCGAGGCAGGCGTAGTGCCACGGAGCTAAATCCCCAGGCTGCTAATTTTTATAATTGGTTTCTGTGGAAGAATTGCTTGCTTTCATGGCTTTATCATAAGTCTCATTCCGCAAACTGATATAACAGCTAGTATTTACAACCCCAAAATATATTGATACTGACCATTAAAGTTACCCAACCACGTGGGCGTGGCTCGGCTAAGGTCCGAGCGCCCAGTGCCCTGGCCACTCCTGGCCGAGGCAAACTGTGGGCGACTGCGGTGGTGCCTTCACAGCGGGTGTGGTCGCGGTGGAGTCTTCCAGGCCGTCAAGGGCTTCCACAGTGCTCCTGTTGGAATCAACACGAGTTGGGAGGTAGTGTCCACCGATGGGCAGTAACTTCCCGGTGCGGGGGGCCTATTCACCATTGTAGACTGTGGGGGCACCGGGGCACGGAGAACCCCGGGAATTCCCATCACCGCGATGGGTGTGCTGATGGGGTGTGCTGGCTGCCTGCAGGGGCCCTGGCCGCGGTGGGCTCAGTGATGATGGCCAAGCAGTTCTGAAACGCACCTTTGTTTCTGGAGGGGGAAAGCCAGCTACCCGCTAAGGAGGGCACCCCAGGCTATCCCAGCTATCAGCAAGATCTGTGAGGAGGCCTCCTCGTGACACTGCCACCACGGGAGCTCCAAGGGCCCTGGATTTAATCTCTAGTACTAGGAGAAAAGTTTTTTAAAATTTCTTTATCTTGGAGGGCTGCCTACACATTAACCCATACTTAGAATGACCTTCAACATATTTAGATGCTGTTATTTGAGACAGTGCCTCAATGTGTAATGCACACTGGGCTTGAACTTGCAATGCTCCTGTCTCAGCCT